CGGTATTAGTAGAACCTCAGTATTTGCCTTCGGTTCGGTATACCGTAATGCAATCCTAAAAGTCAGTGTTTTCATGCCGTCGTTTTCTTAACCTTTATAAACTGTTTCTAAAATGTGTAGAACTTGAATCTTTTTGTCAAAATCTGTGCGTTTCTTTTCTTTTCTGCATTATGATGATATCTCATATACCGAACCGAACCGGAACGAAGGCCTTGTACCACAATACGTACCGTACCATGGTATTGGTATGTGCGTATCGTTTCACCCCTCATGTACATACTATTCCAAAGAAATTAAGCAACAATGTATTAGTGACATGTCATGCCAGAAGTTTTTTAAGTTCTTCTGAGCAGCATATTTTTTAATTTTTTGGTCAATATTTTATTCATTTCAGTGGCGCATATACAAAAGTATATAAGTATGATTTGATGGAGTAACAGTGTTGGGATAACAAGCAATATAGACTAGCATGACATATATAGAGAATACTACACAGGGTCTCATTACATACGAATTATACGAAACGAGTGTCCTTCCTATGGTATCTGACCGAGCGAAAGCGAGGTCAGATAACATAGGAAGATCACAGTTTCAGATAATTCGTGATGTAATGAGACCGAAAGTGTGGTATTTTATTTATTACCCACGTCTTACATGCATTTAAATTGACAAAATAACATATTTTTGTTATGTTTTGGTTTCAAACCGAAACCGGTTTCATAAAGAGGTTATGGAAGAGTTTTGTACTGTAGTACAATATTTGCATGACGTCACACTAATGACGCCACTGCCATGGTAACCGACGCCACGATGCATGTCATGTAATTTCAGGTCAAGTCGATTCTGACACAGGTCAACGCTGATCACGACACTTTTCGTGTGACGCGTACAAAATTAATATGCAACTACCCATACGTTGACCACGTGGGTAATAAACAGTAAGTAGTGCATAGTACACTTACTGGTGTTGGGAATTGGTTAAAATATCATAATTGATGATCGGTTCATTACAACCAATCAATCATCGAAAATAATTGGTTTGCGCCATTTATCAAATTTTCCTGTTATGTTTGTTAATGGACAAACATTTTGGGGATTTTTTTCAAATTATACAAAATACATTTGCAAATTTCACATCTATAAAGGATTAATAGTATGTTAGGAACATAAATTTCCTAGAGTCATTAAGATAAATTCAATCATGACTTGGAGCGAACTTTTAGTGTTTATGAATCGTAAATTTTATGACACAGATAAACCCAACCTTGTGAATATTATTGTTAATGCAGACATGTGTTCCATTTGTTTGTGTTCGATTATGAGAAACACGATTGATTGCTTGATCGTTTAGTCACTGCGACCAATCTTCGATTCTTTCAATTAATCGGACCACCACTAACACTTACAAGGGAAAGTGTATTCAGGCTACATGTTTTTTTTATGGTAAATGTAATACAATGGAATATCAATGTTGGCATAGCAAACATTACCGTTTAGCATAACCGATACAGTAAGTAGTGCATAATACACTTATAAGAGAAAGTATAGTCAGGCTAAGGATATTATTTCATTTCCTTGGGCCATTACCTTCTGTTGTGAATATGGTACAATGAAATAACAATGTTGGCATAGCAAACAGTATAGTCTAGCTTAACAGATACATATTTTTCCAGTGTTCAATGTGATATAATGAAATAAAAACATTGGCATAGCAAACAATATAGTCTAGTATAACAAGTACAATAGATAGTGCATAATACACTTATAAGAGAAAGTATAGTCAGGCTATGGATATATATACTAGCCACATAAAGAAACTGTGCATTGTCAAAATATTATCCCAGTTGATAAGTACGATAACAATGTCAAAGGTACATATAAACTTTAATGGAGGGATCATGAGACCATAACAAGTCGGGAGAATTTCAATTGAAAAGTCAATCACAATGACGTCACGAGTCCACAAGCGGGACAGGGGTCAAACGACCATGTCACAAGCTCAATAACGGGTATGTCCACCATCGGCATTGAGAAGGCAGCAGTGCATCGAATGATGCATAGAGCCTATCAAGCGTGCAAGGAAGGGCTTGTGGGATGTCACGCCAGATTCTCTCATGTTCTGTTGGAAAGTCAAGGACGTTATCTGGCGGATGAGGAAGATGGCGTAGGCGATCGATCCATCTTGTCCCAAACATGCTCTATCGGGAAGAGATCCGTGAATTTGCAGGCCAAGGCAGTAAGTCAACGTTGTGGTGTTGCAAGAAATCCATAGCAACCCTTGCCGTATGAGGGTGGGTATTGTCCTATTGGAATCTTAACCCAGGGCCATGATGCTGCAGAAAAGGAATTGCCACAGGTTGAAGAATCTGATCCCTGTAGCCCACACCAGTTAAGTTGCCCTGAACAATCACCAAAGGAGTTCTTTGGCGTGCTGTAATTCCACTCCAAATCATCACGGAACCACCACCAAAGCGATTCCTCTCCAAGACACAGGCCTGTGCATAACGTTCTCCCACGGTCTATAGGCACGTTAACGTCCATCACTATGGGAAATGTTAAACATGGCTCATCTGTAAAAACAACATTTCTCCACCAAAACAAGGGTCTGGACATGATTTGGACACCACATTCGCGAGCTTGTCGATGGCGTCAGGATACCGTATGGCGGGACATCGTGGTCTGATCCCTGATCCTGTCTTGTCGAACTGTGTTGGGGTGGATACGGCGCGTGTCCTGGGATGGTTCGGGCAGTCATCACTGCAGTCTGATCGCAGATGGGTCCTGTCCTGTCCTGTCATTTGTTGTCCTGGACGCCCAGAAGCGTGGCGATCGACCAGTGCAGAAATGCTGTTCGGTGGCAGTGGAAATGTGCAGCCACTTGTCGTTGAGACATTCCCCCACGGACAATCCCAATGGCCTCATGACGTTGTGCAGACATGAGCCTTGGCATGCTACGCGTTTCAATAGCAAGGGCAGGGGTTGAGCTTTCCAAAGTGACAGTATTGTGTGGCATTCATTTGCTCTGTTCTCTTTCCCGGAATGCACGTGCAACAACGTATTGCATGTCTCAAGGACGAACCCACTGACGCCACGGAACGTGGCACGTGCATGCATGTTGGATACATGTCACTAATCTCTGAGTTTAAATCCTTATGTGACTACACAGGTTTGATACATTTAGATTTTAAATTTTTGTATGCACAGTTTCTTTATGTGCCTAGTATATTCATATTATAATTTTAATTCCTAGGGCCATTTCCCTTGGAACTTTGCCATGTTGTTATTTTTTCTGGCTATATATCTTTCAATTGATATAAGATTATTTAACGAATTTAGAAACTTGTCAAAAGTCAGTTTTCTGTCATTTATACTGGCTAGGTATATGAACCTTTTCCCAGCAAGAATAATATTATTAATAAAAGGATAGCCAGTGTTCATCCCCAACAATATTGCAAAGTCCGTGAATAAGATATTAATATTGACAGTATTTTTAATATATAAACTTAAGTCGTTCCAGAATGTCTGAACAATATCACATAAAGCATACACATGTACAATGTTTTCAGATTCTTTTTTACAAAATGTACAGCAGTCATTATCTAATGTTTTCATCTTTACTAGTTCTTTTCTTGTGTAAATAACTTTGTGAATAAATCTGTACTGAAAGTCCAAGAGTTTAATATTGTTTGTACACTTTCTATAATGTAAGAAAATAGCATCCCAAGGGAAAGTAATATTTGTCAAAACTTCCCATTTTCTGCAAACTTCAGGCAATCTATCTGTTTTGATCAGTTTATCATAAAATATTCTACAACCTTTAGAGGGTGTAAGCAGAGTTAATATCACTTCATTGATACCAAGATTTTGATTTTCAAGTTTATGATTGCTTATTGTGGCTTTCCAAGTAATGGGAATATTACTCAAGACTCTGTTGTAATCTAAAAAAGTACCGTTAACTAAGAATCTATTTTAAATTCATCAAAGGATAATAGCCCATCAGAGTTACATATGTCTTTAATCTCAGTCACACCCTTATTGAACCAATTATGGATAAGAAGAAGGGTTTGCAAAATGATGGTTTAGCCACAACGGTTCATGAAGCATTTTCTGATAATCACATTGGTCAACTCTGAAGGAAGATCTGTACCTCTTTAATGCCTGAAAAACATCTTTCCAATAAAGGTTATCAACTTCCTTAGATTGATCAATATTAGCTCCTAATTGGAGTAATGGTATAATAGGAACATTGCAGGGATTGTTGCAGGTAGCCCTATAGAGACATCTCTTCATTGCTGCTATTTTAAGTGAATCAATGAAAAGTCTGAGCAGCATATTTAGTGAAAATAAATTCCCACTGCTTCACACTTGGGAACAATTTCTGATGCAATCTTATGTATGTTTCATTGTGCTACTTATTGTTCCCCTCACAGTGGCATGTAAGTCCACATTAATCAAAGTATCTAACATCAACTAGTGTTTTAATTGCTCAATTGTAGTTAAACATTTTTAATATTGGTTAGCCTTGCATACAGCCGCAGGTGGCCAAAGTGATCATGTAAATCCTACTGGGGATCATGTAGGAAGCAGAAGCACCGTAAGTCCTGTTGACCTCCAGGAAGGTGGTCTAAGCTTGGTCACTAGTGGTCTTAGCCTAGTTTTGATTCATGCTAGGTAATATGCTGACAAAAGTAATGTTTTTAATATTGAATTGGTTTGTTTTATATCTAAACTTTGATACTGAACATACTGTTTTACTGTCCTTTGTCGACAGACATTTAACTTTTGTCAACTTGTTTTCATCATGATATGGCTGCATTATTGCTGATGTGATGTAAAATTGTACACCCACACTCACTCACTCACTCACTCACTCACTCACTCACTCACTCACTCACTCACTCACTCACTGCTCACTCACTCTCTCTCACTCACTCTCTCACTCACTCACTCACTGTGCTACAGACATGTTAGGTATTTGACATGTTTTGATCTGTTCACAGGGTCGTCAGTTGAGGCTGCCAAAGAGTTGCTGCAAGTATGTTGTGGGAACCTGGAGATGGCGATAGGTATGCACATGGATGGGTCGTGTGAAGCGGCTCCTGCTGCCCCGGCCGCACCCTGCCCTCTCTACCCCGATGACAGTCTCGGTCACAGTTCCACTGCAGGGGCTAGTGCTGATGTCAGCGACAGGTGTGTTCAGCTAGTAACCATTGTAACTCATGGAGAAACTTAGTGTATACAATAACTACACTATTGACATTTTTGTTTTGCCCATGTCTGCTCACATGTGTAATATCTATAACATAGCAAGGATGCATCTCGGTCACAGGATTGTGTGTATAAGCAGTTGTGTCATTACTTCCGCAAAATAAAAGTCATTCCACAAATTTCCATAGAAATACAGCGGAGTTGGTGAGATATAATTTAAACAAAAATAACAATATGAATATCACATTAGTAATTACCATGGCAATTATATATTGAATGTATCTTGAACAAAAATTAATATACAGCAAAAATCGTCATAATACCCAAGGTATCTATGGTCAAAGTCAAACATTACAATTGATTTCTTGAAATTCGCTAGTTTGCCGTGATCACATGACTACCTTGTTCAGAAGTGCTAAAAGATTTGTCATAAACTTGTTAAAAATCATCAAACATGTTGGCACTTGTTCAGATGGTAGGGGCGGTGAGGTAGCCTAGTGGTTAAAGTGTTCACTCATCACGCCGAAGACCGGGTTCCATTCCCCACATGGGTACAATGTGTGAAGCCCATTCAGGGATTTACATGGAGTCCTGTATTTGAGGGTCCCTGGGACTCATACTCTTAATTTTCAGGGGTCCTGGACAACAAAATGGGGCTCCCAGACACTTAAATATTAATATTTATACTGTTATTGTATTGTGTATCATGATCATCACATTGTTACAGTAATTAAATTGCAAACAATACCATAAACCAGCTAGTAGCAAACTCAGTGGTAACGTATTGTCACTTGATTGGTATTTTTACTTGGACTTTTTCTGAATGCCTGTGGACACGCTAATAAATTTTGTTGGGTCCATTGTCAGTTTTTATGGGTGTAGGACGCAGGAATTCACGTCCTGTAGATTAATATAATCTCTGGTTTCCCCTGCCATGATATTGCAGGATTATTGCTAAAAGCAGCGTAAAACGGAAAACTCACACACTCACTCAGACGGGTGTTGGGGCACTTTATGAAGTCAGTGGGTGAGTTGGCCCAGTTTTGTGACAAGCTGGATGCATTCCTTCATTGTGTCTGTATGTTTTCAGTGATGCAGTAAGAGCACCAATACCACAGAGAAGGGAAGTGTTGGTGGAGGAAGCAGCTAATCTAGGTAACCATGGAAACACCATAGCATCAAAACATCTGTCTAAGATCATTGATTGCGTTGTCTTTCTGACTATTGCAACCTTTATTTGAGATATCAAATGGGTTCAATGTGTGAAGCCTATTTCTGGTGTCCCCGGCCGTGATATTGCTAAAGCGGTGTAAAACTTAACTCCCTCACTCACTATCAGCCTCAGTCTTTTCAACTGCCCTCCTGCATCAGGCAGTTAATGAAAGACGTCAGACTTCTGCAAATGAGAATGCCCTAAAAATAGCATTACCGTTATATTAATGGTTACACACTGAAAGTGTATCAATTTATGAAGTAAAAGTACTGTATCAGGATACAATTATCCATAGTATCAGCATATGTATCCAAATGGGACCATATCATCAAGGGTCTGATGTTGGTGACTAATACCCAGCATATTAATAATTTTTCCTTATCCTAACTCATGCTATATGCTAAATTTCCAAATTTTATCATAAAAATGACATTTTTATAAGCATTTGTGAGTAATAAACATTGAGAAATTCAATCTACACGACAAGATTATAGCTATTTCACTTTGGAGATGTGTTCCATACAGAGCAACAAAATCTGGTTTTCTTTCTCAAGGCTTTCGACCAAGACGAAGACAAACAAGATCAGTATTCGATGGTTTTCGAGATTTTCAAGCTGAAGCACGTACGTACAAGCAGCCATTTGATTCCTTTCAGTCAGTCAGTCAGTCAGTCATTGATTGACCCTGCCATATTGCTGCAATATTGCTAAAAGCGGCGAATAACTCACTCACTCACTCACTCTGTGGGTCTATACTATACCCAATTGATTTTTGTACAAGAAGAACTGTCATATTTAACATTTAACTGTCTCTGATTAACACAATAAAGACAAATCTCTTTTTGAATTGGCGGTCTCTACTGTTTTCAAACTGTTGACTTCATATCCAGATGAACCATGGTGCTATATTTTCCATGCCAGCATCGGATTAGACACCAAGGACACTAGAACATATTGTGTATATGCAGGTCAACAAGAGCAGAGACTGACGGGGAACCACAGCAGAAGTGGAGTTGAAGGAGGGGGTGGGGGCGGGAACAAGCAGAGGACGCTCGAGGATCTCTTCAGACCTCCCATTGATCTCACATACAAGGGAACATTCCAGAATGTAAGTAATCACCCCTTGTCGTGCAGTTAACATACACATAATACATCACAGTTTAACACAAAATGATTTGTTTAATAATAATTGGGTCACCGTTTGAGAGACTGGTGATTCTCGCTCATGTAGATGTGTGTGTGTGTTGTTGTTTAACTCCACACCAAGCAATATTCCAGCTATATGACGATTAGTGGTGGTCCGTTTAATTGAAATAATCGAAGATTGGTCGCAGTGACTAAACGACCAAGCAATCGATCATGTTTTCTCATAATCGAACACAAACAATTCTGGAAAACTTTTTGCATTAACAAGATATTTCACAAGTTTGGTTTTGTCTGTTACATTTCATAAGCACTACAAGCTCGTTCCAAGTCATGATTGAATTTATCTTAAAGATTCCAAGAAATTAATGTTTCTAACATACTAGTCATCCTTTAAAGATGTGCAATTTGCAACAAAAAAATCAAAGAAGTACATTTTTTTATTTTTGTTTTTGCGCAAACAAAAATAATCAGGAAAATTTCATAAATGACGCTAGCCAATTATTTTCGATGATTGATCGGTTGTAATGAACCAATCATCAATTATGGGATTTTAACCAATTCCCAACACTAATGATGATGGCTGTATATCATTAAGTCTGGACCAGATAATTGATCAATTTTATGAACAAAGTTCCATGATGCCTGGGGGCGGTGGGGTAGCCTAGTGGTTAAAGCGTTGGCTCGTCACGCCGAAGGCCCGGGTTCAATTCCCCACATGGGCACAATGTGTTAAGCCCATTTCTGGTGTCCCCTGCCGTGATATTGCTGGAATATTACTAAAAGCGGCGTAAAACTAAACTCAGGCAGTCAGTCAATGATGTCTGGTTCTGGTGATATGGCTTACCACAAACCAAGGGAAACAGGGAAGAATTGTTTTTTCCGCTTGTCATGATCTACGATCTACGCCCCTGTGTGTTGCAGGCCCGAGACAACGGAACACGCCAGAACAAGTGGCTGCTAGTCAATGTCCAGAACGTCCAGGAGTTCCCTTGTCAGGTCCTCAACCGGGACATCTGGAGCTGCCCCCACATCAGGAGCCTCATCAAACAACACTTCATATTCTGGCAGGTGAGTGGGCAACTTGTACTTCAACAAGTAAGGATAAGATATATGGATGAACAACTTCTTTATTTACAATGAGGAGTGACGTTTCAGTGTTGATTCTAACTACGTTATGAAGCAAGTGATCACATCTACACCAAAACATCGCTCCTCATTGTAAACAAAGAAGTTGTTCATCAATATAACTTAACCTTACTTAGTAAGGGTATGCACCTCCCAAAGGAAATTGTACTTCACTATCCAACAGATTACTTGCAGACTGCCTCAATGGAAAGACCTAGTTCCCGACTGATAATGTTTTTGCCTGCTTGCTAGAGTAGCTTCCCTTTATAAAAGGGAAGCTACTCTAGTCTATGAGATGTTACATTTGTTGACAAATAACATGGCCTGGTAAATGTTTCAAAACTAGATTACAAAAATGGAGTAAATTATCCCACTCAGCATTAAAATAAAACAAAATATATTTACAGGTCTTACAATCTCTGACAGTTAATTTGTGAAAAGACGTCAAGCCACGGAGCAGACGTGTGGTACTGATATTCCCTCCCTCTTTGCTAAATGTCTTGGCAGTTTATGATATACCTAAAGTTGCTGACACTTGTGAAAGACCTCCATTTCCTTTTCAGTATCTAAGACTTGCAGTTTTAGAATGATAACAGTTATCCTATTACCCTATTTCTCTGACTTGACCTCTGAGAGACACTTGGATGGCCATTCTTGTTTAACAAATGAAAGGAGTAGCCACCCTGTCTTTTGTATTTGCATATTAATGATAGTGATAGTCTGTCATCTTGGATATATTTATTGTGTTACATTTAATTTGGGGTGGTGGTGTGTGTGTGTGTGTGTGTGTGTGTGTGTTTAGCCTAGTGGTTAAGCGTTCGTGGTTTCGCCTTGTCACGTCGAAGACCCGTGTTCGATTGCCCACATGGACACAATGTGTGAAGCCAATTTCTGGTGTCTCCCGCTGTGATATTGCTGGAATATTGCTGAAAGCGGCGTAAAACTTCACTCACTCACTCACTACAATTATGTTGATTGCCTGAAAATTCTTCCCAATATGTCAGACTGCATGGCCAAATTTGTCTTCTAGGTTTACCACGACAGTGAGGAAGGCAAAAAGTACATGCAGTTTTACAAGATAAACGAATGGCCGTATGTGTCCATTGTTGATCCCCGCACAGGTAAGTACATTACTCTATGTGTGTTCAGTGGGGCACAGTGGCCCTTATATCTAAGGTGCTGCAATTTGGTGAGAGTTGTGTCCCTTGGCCATGTGAGATACCTGTGATTGATGGTTTGTATCCCTTGGCCATGTGAGATACCTGTGATTGATTGTTTGTCTCCCTTGGCCATGTGAGATACCTGTGATTGATGGTTTGTATCCCTTGGCCATGTGAGATACCTGTGATTGATTGTTTGTGTCCATGTGAGATACCTGTGATTGATGTGTTTGTCTCCCTTGGCCATGAGATACCTGTGATTGATGGTTTGTGTCCCTTGGCCATGTGAGATACCTGTGATTGATGGTTTGTGTCCCTTGGCCATGTGAGATACCTGTGATTGATGGTTTGTGTCCCTTGGCCATGTGAGATACCTGTGATTGATGGTTTGTGTCCCTTGGCCATGTGAGCCATGTTTGAGATACCTGTGATTGATGGTTTGTATCCCTTGGCCATGAGATACCTGTGAGATACCTGTGATTGATGGTTTGTATCCCTTGGCCATGTGAGAGATAGATACCTGTGATTGATGGTTTGGTCCCTTGGCCATGTGAGATCCCTGTTGATGGTTTGTGTCCCTTAGCCATGTGGAGATATGGATTGATGGTTTGTGTCCCTTGGCCATGTGAGATACCTGTGATTGATGGTTTGTGTCCCTTGGCCATGTGAGATACCTGTGATTGATGGTTTGTGTCCCTTGGCCATGTGAGATGTGGCCATGTGAGATACCTGTGATGATGGTTTGGTCCCTTTGTACCTGTGATTGATGGTTTGTGTCCCTTGGCCCCTTGGCCATGTGAGATACCTGTGATTGATGGTTTGTGTCCCTTGGCCATGTGAGATACCTGTGATTGATGGTTTGTGTCCCTTGGCCATGTGAGAGATACCTGTGATTGATGTTTGTGTCCCTTGGCCATGTGAGATACCTGTGATTGATGGTTTGTGTCCCTTGGCCATGTGAGATACCTGTGATTGATGGTTTGTGTCCCTTTGGCCATGTGAGATACCTGTGATTGATGGTTTGTGTCCCTTGGCCATGTGAGATACCTGTGATTGATGGTTTGTATCCCTTGGCCATGTGAGATACCTGTGATTGATGGTTTGTGTCCCTTGGCCATGTGTGATTGATACCTGTGATTGATGGTTTGTGTCCCTTGGCCATGTGGAGATACCTGTGATTGATTGTTTGTGTCCCTTGGCCATGTGAGATACCTGTGATTGATGGTTTGTGTCCCTTGGCCATGTGAGATACCTGTGATTGATGGTTTGTGTCCCTTGGCCATGTGAGATACCTGTGATTGATGGTTTGTATCCCTTGGCCATGTGAGATACCTGTGATTGATGGTTTGTGTCCCTTGGCCATGTGAGATACCTGTGATTGATGGTTTGTCCCTTGGCCATGTGAGATACCTGTGATTGATGGTTTGTGTCCCTTGGCCATGTGAGATACCTGTGATTGATGGTTTGTATCCTGTTTTCTCGGCTTGTGCTTTCCTCCTGTTTAAGCTGACACCATACCAACAGGAATCTGTTAGAACCACTGACTCACTCAATCCCCAAAATGGCAGGGTTAGAAATTCATATATGTTTCCACAGTAATAGCCTGCTACAGACTTGCCATCTAGCTAATGATCTTAAAGACTTCCTGTTCGAGGTACTGGTAAGGTGGTGCAAGACTGTACAGTTTCAGTGATGAGCTTCTTGAGTAAATAAACATGATCAAAGCATGATACATGCAGGACAGGACAGATATTGCACAAGTTGATGACAGTCTGTTTATACAGACTTGTAAAAACATTTGCTCATTGAGATTTCCTGTCACCCTTTGGGGTCCAGGCTTACTGACATGATCGTCTAAGAGCTGATCAATAAATGTGGTACAATGATTCCCCATCATAGGTGTTTATCTTGTTTGTACGATTGAGGATGACAGCAAATATAATATACACTGTCCTTCGACAGAACCATGCCGAACTAAAGGATGAGACTCTGCATAGAAGGTGTCAATAGCCTCTGTGTAAAACATATGTTATGAACTGCGTACATTGAGGACCAAGCCTCAAGGTTGTGTTGTTTGATATCATGAACAGCTCAGAATTGTGATTGTCATGTGAGATATGTGTTGCATATGTTCTAACAGGTAAATTGTGTAACATTTCAGGAGAGAACCTTGCTGAATGGTCCAAAATAGTATCAGCATCAGCGATGCGCACAATGTGTGAGTAATGGCGTGGTATACATTGTTATGGTTGAACAACAATACAGTTGTGTTGTGTTACTGAGATGATGTGCACAATGTGTGAGTAATGGTGTGGTATACATTGTTATGGTTGAACAACAATACAGTTGTGTTACTGAGATGATGTGCACAGTGAGTGTGTCAGATACCATGTATCATAATCCAAGTTGTTTCAAAACATACCTAATGAGCTCGATTTGTGAAGGACACATTTGTTTAGACTGTTCTCATACTTAGTGTGACCCCCAAAAGAGGTTTCAGCCTTACATGTGGACTACAGATGATGAGATTGAGAATGTGAGGTAACTGTGAGATAAGATCAAAGAATAGTTTGTAAGCAGTCTGAAAACATTTTGTGTGTAGCAAGAATTGCCTGAAGCAATTTGCACAATTTTATGAGGTTCAGAACTGCTTGTGTTGTGACAAGTGACTGTCACATGATAGTCACATGACCATATTCCTAGTTCCAAGATGGGTTGCTGTCATTGTTGTCCAGGGCCCTGTTTCACAAAGCTCTCATAGCGCTGCGACTATCGTAAGTAAATGTTACAGTATGGGAGGTATGCATGCTACAAGGAAAGTTACGAGATCATAGGCTTACGAGAGCTTTGTGAAACGGGGCCCTGTTGGATAGTGAAACTGAGGGAATCCCCATGCTAAGTAGGAATAGTGGAATAGTGGAATAGCGTTATGGTTACAGTGTTAACTCATCACATCAAGTTATGAGTCTTTCACTAGGTTACCATCGATGTGGACCGCCTCCGTGGTATAGTGGTTAGAGCGTCCGCCCGGAGAGAGGAAGGTCGTGGGTTCGATCACCGACTGCGTCATACTAAAAGACGTTAAAATCAGGTTCTTGTTGGTCCCTGCCTGGCGCTCGGCATTAATGGGTACAACAAGGACTGGTAAGCTCGGAGTCAGTATAATGTGTCTGAGTGGGGTATTCATGCTTCACTGCGGCATGGTATCTCAGTGGGCTAGCACTATAAAACCAGCTTCAGTCTGGGCTAGTACAAGCAGCCGCACATACACATGCATGCACGTCATCATATGAGCGAAATATTCTCAAGCACGACGTTAAACCCAACTTCACCTCACCTCACCTCACCTCACCACCTCACCTCACCATCGATGTGTGTGATTGATCTGTGTTACTGGTGTGTCATTGATGATGTGTGTTATCTATTTGTCACTGATGAGAGTCACTGAAGATGTGTTTGTGTTCTTCAGTCAGTGAGTTCCTGCTGAACCACCAAAACCCTGATTCAGCAGACAGCAGTCCACCATCAAAAAGAATGAAAAGAGTAAGTACATCACTTTCAAATACCACCTAAACGACATGGAAAGTCTCGAGCACCCTCTACATTACTCATGGATTTCCTTTGTTGTACTGACCACAAATCCCTGGCAACTAAACCAACCTTGTCTTGTCCATTCACTACCCAATTCTAAGTGTGACTTGATGTATATAAGACCATGAGCTATATGAAGATACTTGGTTGGGACCAGTACTATTGCAATTTATCCTATAACCCTGGGCCCTTATTATTGAAATGTTCGTAGCCCTAAGAATTCTTAACTTTGATCGTAGCCAATGTGTTAAGAATGGGTTTAAGAAGTTTGTAGGGCTACGAATGTTTCGAGAATAGCTAGCCAGCTGTCTATACACATTAGCACAATGTATGGGATGTGATTTAAATGTAAACAATGTAAGTAAAACAAACAGTCAGTTTCAATGAAGAGTTTATTTGGATGAGTGAAAGAGCTGATAACAGGACACAAATGCAAAAACATATGGAGTAGAATATAGAAAAGTTAGACGTCTGAGGATAAACATGATGTAAAACATCTGAAGAAAGTGGTGATAGATACAAGAAGTATGATTCTCAGAATATAACTTAGAGTTGAAAGATCCTGCTGTAAATTGTAATTGCTGGAATATTGCTAAAAGTGGCGTAAAACTAAACTCACTCACTCACTCACTGCAAAGAAATTAGAAAATGTTATTCTTCCAAATCCGCAGGAAGGTAATCTTTCAAGAATCCAAAGCAAAAGTAGATGTCATCAGTTATGTGGCACAGGTGGACTGATGTCGCGTCTGTTTTCTATACAGAGTTACATCCCTTGGGCATGTCTGAAACAGAAGTTGGTGAGGGGGTCCCCTTCTGCACTATTTTCTGTAGATAGCTGTATCATACACAAGTAAACATGTACAGTCCTAGTCAGACAATTTTTAGCCTTATATAAAGCTTATCAGGGGCAGTGGGGTAGTCTAGTGGTTAGAGTGTTTGCTCGTCACGCAGAAGGCCTGAATTCAATTCCCCACATGGGTACAATGTGAATCCCATTTCTGGTGTCCCCTGCTACGATATTGAAATATTGCTAAAATTGGTGTAAAACCCAACTCACTCACTATAAAAATTATCTGTAGATTGGTCTAGGAGCAGGAGGGGAAGTGGGGTAGCCTTATGGTTAAAGCGTTTGCTTGTCACGCCAAAGACTTGGGTTTGATTCCCCACATGGGCACAATGTGTGAATCCTTTTCTGGTGTCCCCCGCTGGAATATTGCTGGAATATTGCTAAAAGCGGCGTAAAACTTAACTCACTCACTCACACACTCTTGGTGCAGGTTACTGAGACACTCATGCAAATTTATGTTGATGTGTTTGATTAGGAACCAAGCATAGTAGATGCCAGTGAAGAGGATCAGTTGAAGGCAGCCATTGAGGCCTCCTTGAAACAAGAGACATCACAGCAGGACGATTCATGTATATTTGTTGACACTGACTCTGAAGCTCAGTCAGATGACATGGAAACTTTCTCAGACTCAAATGAGGAAAGCAGTCGAAGTGAAATGCCAAGCACATCAACGTGCCATAGAAACAATAATTCCAAAGGACACGCCAAAGACTCCGATGTTGTGAATAACGTGAACAGTAAATCCTTGCCTAGCACCAGTGTGGATGGGAATGTGAGGGAAGGCAGTAGTAGGCAGGTGTGTGTAGCTCAACTGGACAACATGGCGGGAAGGGACAGCTCCAAGGGGAAGGAGGGAGATGGGCAGGACAAGAGTGTCAACGGACATGAAGAGTTGGAGGAACCGGAGGAGCAAGATGATGAACCTGAAGGTGGGTAATGAATTTAGACTATGCCATCATCTGTTGTGTAGAAGGTTCAGGTTGATAACTCATTGTAGTATATGCTGTATTCTCACCAGGGAGTTGAGAATGAAATTCGAGTGCAGACTAATCTAAAGTCCATGATAATAATCACTGACTGGCAGTGATGATGTACTTTAACTGTTCATCAGTACTACATATTAAGTCAAATTAATCGGTGAATATGTAGCTAGTTGATAAATAAAGTATCATTTTCTATTTGTATTGAAATATGTATATATATATGTATTGAAATATGTTTAACAGAGTTATGGCCCTTGCTACCAAGTTATGGTTCTTGTTTGATGTTTCAATCAGTGCTCCGCCGCCATATAGCTGGAGTACGGCGTAAAACTAAACCCACTCATTCAATCAGTGCTCCATTCGTCACCACTCGCCCCTTTCTGTAACCGCCAAGAAGACTCGTCCCCCTCTCGATGCTTGTTATGTGCGAAAATACGACAAACCAATCAGAACGCGTGTAATGAATGTGGTGCTTTGATAAAAATAATTCCCAGTACTTAAATCAATGACATTATGTGTTTGTTTAAAAAATCATGAAAAATATATATCTTCGTATTGAAAGTATAAAGAACATATCTAACAGAATTGTGTTGCCTCGTTTGATTGGAATCAAACGTGAATAGAGTTATCGTTCTTGTTTAAAGTAGTTCTGATGTTCATGTGCCAATATGAAATCCTTCCAGAGGGGCACGAGTCGCTATTCGGCTTGTCCTGGAATAACAGTCAGTGCTCATTACTGCCATTTTGTTGGAAATAACCAGATATGAATGCATCAGTAATATCACTACTTTTTCAAGTTTTTAAAACCACCATCTTTTAATATTTTTCATTTTGCTGATAAAGAACATGATGAGAGCAAAGTCCATTTCAAGAATGTAACTTGTTAAAGTTTCTTCACTCCTCAGGCATCTAATGGAGTCTTGAATGTGAATGTTCTGGAATTGTTTTATTATGATCCTTCCAGATGACAAGCCTTGTGTTATCATGATTACCTCTCCATGAACCTTCGCAGTACAACTGGGGCGCTGGGGTTAAAGTGTTCGCTTGTCATGCCGATGACCCGGGTTCGATTCCCCCACATGGGTACAATGTGTGAAACCCATTTCGGGTGTCCCCCGCCGTGATATTGCTGGAATATTGCTAAAAGCGGTGTAAAACCATACTCACTCACTCGCAGTACAACTAGTGCCCATCTTACAGCGTTTCCACAGAAAGCACATATTAAAAACACACAGAATTACAACAATATGTTTAATCAATATATGCCAATATCTCAGGTCCAGAGATGAATCTGTTGATTCGATTCCCAGACGGTGCCAAAGAACATCTTAATCTTCCAAGTACATCTACCATCAAGGTTGGTTCAGTTTTGTCCATCTGAACATAAGTTAAAATGATTAAAATATTTAAATATTGTTGTGTTGTCATGCATCTTCTCCAAGTTGTTGTTTTTATGTATATGTGTAATGGGCATATCAGATTAGAAAAGGTCCCTGGTAACCTACACTGGTCAAAAGTAGCAACCAGAATCTTTGGACGGTCAGCTTGATGACTTTGCTTGTTCCCAGATTACAATCGATCACTGGTTTATGAATACACAATGCCATTTAGAAAGTTGTCAAATGTAGCATATGTTATATTTGGGATTACACTTTCTTAGGTTGGAAACAGTGGTGGCTGAGCTGGTTAGGTGGCTAACTTGTGTGCTGGCAATTAGGTGCCTGACTCTGAGGGTGTGGGTTGAATCCCGGATGGGACTCAACCCAACAAAGTACTAGAATCAGTACTTTACTAAGAAAGTGTAATCCCAAATATAACATATGTTACAGATCACTGGATTGTCTGTTCCAGACTACATTATTCAAAGGCAGCTATCGTTTAGCTGAAACAATACCGAGAGTGTTATTAAACATGTGAAACGGAAAAATATATACAGTGAAGCAACTTTCAGCTTGGAAAACCTTGCCTTTCAGAGGTATATTATAGGGTAGGCTTTGGACTGGTAATCAGAATTTTTATTGAATGGAAGAATTAGCAAGGAGTTTTAGTATGACAGGTATATTCTTAATATTATCGTACATAAACTATTGTGATCGTATGTAAACTTATTAAAGGCAATATTTTATGTGAGGCCATAGGACCCCCTCCGTAATAAGGTAAGTTTACTTCTAAAGGCAGCGTAAAATCATACTCACTCTTTTCTTTATTTCAGACTCTTCTTAAATTTGTTATATCAAAAGGCATAAAGTCTGGTGATTTTGAGCTGGTGACAAACTTTCCACGAAGGCAGCTGCATCTTCTCAGTCCAAACACCAAGTTAAAGGATGCTGGACTCCAAGCCAAAGACACCTTGTTCATACATTGTGTATAAGACCTACATCAGGACTTTTCTCAACATCCCAGTTACTATGGAAACAGTGATCGTGTACATATTCTGATGTTAAAGGCAGCTAGTGCTCACTAACTTCAGGAAACAATGTTAGTTACATTGTGTTTGAACACTGCCAAACAAACATCAGAAGATCCATTATATTAGTTGAACTCAGTCAGATGGGGGCAGCTATTGTTGACAAACATCAAAGCATCAGTCATGTTGTTTACTGACCAACATCGAGACATTCATCATGGTTCACTGACCAACATCCATCAGATTTGCTGGAAAACATCACAACATCCATCGGTTTGCTGACAAACAGTACAACATCCATCGGTTTGCTGGAAAACATCACAACATCCATCGGTTTGCTGACAAACAGTACAACATCCATCGGTTTGCTGGAAAACATCACAACATCCATCGGTTTGCTGACAAACAGTACAACATCCATCGGTTTGCTGGAAAACATCACAACATCCATCGGTTTGCTGACAAACAGTACAACATCCATCGGTTTGCTGGAAAACATCACAACATCCATCGGTTTGCTGACAAACAGTAAAACAGCCATTATGCTAGCACATCTATTGTGTTTGTTATCAAACATCAGAAAATTTGAGTGTGTAGACATACATAGTAATATCCATTGCGTGTGTTGACAAAGGTGAACATCCATCGAGTATGTTAATATGCATCAGAATATCTACTACGTTTGCTGAAACTGCCAGATCAAAGGCAGCTACCCATGGCAAATGTCAGACCTCTCAAGAATCTTCATATTTAAACATCCAGTAACATCTCGACATCTTCTTCATACACGACCAGCAGCTGCAGAAGAAGTGAAAGACAACCTGGTAGAATGTCATCCAGACATCACATGATTACATGTACCAGTGTTTCCGTTATCCGGTACATACCGGACTTGGACCGGTACAAAGTTAGAATGCCCAGTAATTTCAAAGGTTGTCGGTCATTGTGTCCGGCAAATTTTATAATCAATTTTCTAATTACCTCTGTCAATTTTATTTCTCCTCGAAAAAGGTTACGTTTTCACAGTGACATTGAGGTGTTGTCAAATGAAAAATAGCAGTTTTAGAAAAAACCAAAACCTCAGGCTAAAAATAGTGGCATTGACGCATTGCAATATCCTCTACATTTCTTATTGGTTGTTAGGGTGCAAAGTCTTGTGCACAATGAGAAGCATGATCACTTGACCGGTAAAATGTTCAAATGACCGGTATTTGAAATGCTAGCTGGTCACAATGTCCAGCTGTAAAAAATGCCCACGTTAACACCGTGTACAGTATACGGGGGAGTTGAAAGGATCCATACGGCATATGCATCATAATAATGAGTCGGACCCAGTAGAACATCATTCACCATTATGGGAGGGGAAATGAAATCCTGGGGAAGGAAATCTGCCTACATGTACTTGTCTTGATGTGATGGTTCTAGTCCCACAGCCCTGAAAGTGAAATGGCATTTAGACACCACAATTTGTTGGTGTGACATGATACAGCTATAATACTGTTTAAGAGCCATTAAACCCATCTCATCACTCGGTCACTGTCAACAGGTTGGACAAGTCACCCATATTTCCGAGCCTCTGATATTGCAGTGCTGGTGACTCTGGACCAACTGCCACTGCCAAACCAAACATTGTTCCAACTCAGCAGATAATGCTGGCGAGACCTCAATACACAGTGACCTCTGACCCTGCACCTGCCTCCACCAATCAGGCGATCCATTCCAGGCAGCCACACACTGCAACCTACCTCTCTGCGATCAGTGTGAGAGATCTGTGTGTGCCTTCCATCAGAACCTTCAACTTAGTGTCCTCAGGTTCCACAGTTCCTTAGCATGTCTGAAGTCTTTGAGGGCTCTTGCCTGTGTATATTCTTCCATAAATGTCTGCACCGAATGCTCAGTAAGACACATTGCAAGTGACATCCTCAAGAATCTAGTGTATTATATTTTCTTTATATTATACTGAGGGAAACAAATAAGGGAACACCAGTTCAGAGCAGTGTTCCTTTGTTTATTCTCTAATTTTCGCCTACAGTGCAATACAAGGCTTGTGGAGGAAGAATAAAGGAACGCTTGTGCTTTCATGTGTTCCCTTATTTGTTTCCCTCAGTATATGATAAATATCCATGACCTGTAGCAACCTGAGCTTAGTTTTAAATCCCATTTGACAGGATAAAAGTTACAAGTTCACTTAAGTTACTGTCATGAGTGAGCTTATTGATGGGATAGGGAGATTAAGGTCAGGTTATTTGCGAAACCAAGGTCAATGGTCAAGGGTATTTATCGTTATAGAATGAAGATTTCTATGATGGTCAAGTGAATTCGCTCGTTTGTGGTGGTATATTGTTTTATGGAATAGATTAAATTCACACTTTAGAATTATGTAGCCTTGTTTACATGATTAAGGCTGTGTCATTTGTTGTAACATCATGCTGCTGCTAGCCATTTTTTAAGGTACTGATCTGTCATTTTTCAAGTTGGACTGACAATGAAATGTTTGTTTTGATTTCACCAAGATTTTTGACTGATATGTCTTGTTTAACCATTCCATCATGAGCTGTTACAGTCATGTTACAGCAATGATTTGTAACATATAAAAGGTTTTTTGTAACTCATGAAATTCATCATTTGTGTGCTGATGTGAACTTTGTCTTCTTCATCAATGCTCAGTTGTCAAACCAACAGTACAACGACAACCTGATTACTGCTGTGTGAAGGGCAGGGCAGGGTATACATGCTTGTGAATATTTCAGTGATTATCTGTTAGTTCCTGTCAAATCAATATATTTGTCTCAAATCTTGTCTTACTAAATCTGCAAGGGTCAAGGTCATATATCATTGGTAAGGGTCAAGGTCGTATATCATTGTATGCCTGTATGTGTTTGTCTTTCACAACATACTGTCTGATTATAGACCCATATCTGTGCATGTTAACTATGCAAATAAAGTGTCTGGCTACTAGTATTTATTTTTGCAATAAGGCTTTGTATTACTATGTGTTCCATGTACGATTAACTACATTTATAATGGACATGCTTATAGCTAAGTGACAGATAGTACGAACTGTATTTGGGGGGATCCTTGACACTTGTGTGTTTTAGTTGAAGTGTGTATAGTGAACTATTTTTATAATGAGCTGAAATTAGTGGTTTATTTCGAGTTGGTTATGGCCATAGTTAACTGTACTTCAATGTTGGCATTTATGTCATTCAATAGCCACAGTTAACATGGTACAAATCCACAGTTAACATGGTACAAATCCACAGTTAACATGGTACAAATCCACAGTTAACATGGGAGATGGATCCACAGTTAACATGGTACAAATCCACAGTTGACATGGGACATGGATCCACAGTTAACATTGTACATGGATCCACAGTTTACATGGTACATGGATCCACAGCATGGTCCACAGTTAGCCTTGTACATGGATCCACTGTTTACATGGTATGTACATCCACAGTTAACATGGGACATGGATCCACAGCATGGTACACAGGTCCACAGTTAGCCTTGTACATGGATCCACTGTTAACATGGTATGTACATCCACAGTTAACATGGGAGATGGATCCACAGCATGGTACACAGGTCCACAGTTAGCCTTGTACATGGATCCACTGTTAACATGGTGGTACATCCACAGTTAACATGGGACATGGATCCACAGCATGGTACACAGGTCCACAGTTATGGGACATGGTATGTACATCCACAGTTAACATGGGACATGGATCCACAGCATGGTACACAGGCCCACAGTTAGCCTTGTACATGGATCCACTGTTTACATGGTATGTACATCCACAGTTAACATGGGACATGGATCCACAGCATGGTACACAGGTCCACAGTATGTACATCCACAGTTAACATGGGAGATGGATCCACAGCATGGTACACAGGTCCACAGTTAGCCTTGTACATGGATCCACTGTTTACATGGTATGTACATCCACAGTTAACATGGGACCATGGATCCACAGCATGGTACACAGGTCCACAGTTAGGACATGGATCCACAGCATGGTACACAGGTCCACAGTTAGCCTTGTACATGGATCCACTGTTAACATGGTATGTACATCCACAGTTAACATGGGACATGGATCCACAGCATGGTTACACAGGTCCACAGTTATGGTATGTACATGTTAACATGGCATACACAGGTCCACAGTTAGCCATGAACATGGATCCACTGTTAACATGGTATGTACGTCCACAGTTAACATGGGAGATGGATCTACAGTTAACATGGTACACAGGTCCACAGTTAGCCTTGTACATGGATCCACTGTTAACATGGTATGTACATCCACAGTTAACATGGGACATGGATCCACAGCATGGTACACAGGTCCACAGTTAGCCTTGTACATGGATCCACTGTTAACATGGTATGTACATCCACAGTTAACATGGGACATGGATCCACAGCATGGTACACAGGTCCACAGTTAGCCTTGTACATGGATCCACTGTTAACATGGTATGTACATCCACAGTAAACATGGGACATGGATCCACAGCATGGTACACAGGTCCACAGTTAGCCTTGTACATGGATCCACAGCATGGTACACAAGTCCACAGTTAGCCTTGTACATGGATCCACTGTTAACATGGTATGTACATCCACAGTTAACATGGGACATGGATCCACAGCATGGTACACAGGTCCACAATTAGCATTGTACATGGATCCACTGTTAACATGGTACACAGGTCCACAGTTAGCCTTGTACATAGATCCACTGTTAACATGGTATGTACATCCACAGTTAACATGGGACATGGATCCACAGCATGGTACACAGGTCCACAGTTAGCCTTGTACATGGATCCACTGTTAACATGGGACATGGTCCACAGTTAACATTGTACATAGATCCACTGTTAACATGGTATGTACATCCACAGTTAACATGGGAGATGGATCTACAGTTAACATGGTACACAGGTCCACAGTTAACATTGTACATAGATCCACTGTTAACATGGTATGTACATCCACAGTTAACATGGGACATGGATCCACAGCATGGTACACAGGTCCACAGTTAGCCTTGTACATGGATCCACTGTTTACATGGTATGTACATCCACAGTTAACATGGGACATGGATCCACAGCATGGTACACAGGTCCACAGTTAGCCTTGTACATGGATCCACTGTTAACATGGTATGTACATCCACAGTTAACATGGGACATGGATCCACTGCATGGTCCACAGTTAGCCTTGTACATGGATCCACTGTTAACATGGTATGTACATCCACAGTTAACATGGGACATGGATCCACAGCATGGTACACAGGTCCACAGTTAGCCTTGTACATAGATCCACTGTTAACATGGTATGTAAACTCACAATACAACATGGATCTACAGGTAACATTGTGCATAGACCCACTGTTAATGGTGTGTAAATCCACATGGTACATAGTATATGAATAGACTTTACAAACATTGGAATACTTGCTGCTTAACAAAATGTATAAAGTAGGTTTCTGCTTTTCAATATGATTGCGACTTTGTAAACAAGAACAACTTTATGTCAGAAAGCTGATACAGTATACACAGACTGAAAAATGTCTTCTATATAGAAATATATTGCAAGCAGTGCACAACATGTACCCAAGTGTATGTAGGTAAGTCAAGAAGTGATAGTCATTCTGTTGCAAGACACTACCAACAGCTGCTTTGTTGCTTGGCCCAATACAACTTCTTGTGTGTAACAGTTTAACCCAAATTTAATGAGGATCTTATTGCAGGTCGTGCTACAACCCCAAATGGGGAAATGTTGGGTGGGGGTGTCTGTCATTATATTGCTAATTAAAGAAACATTTTGTTCCAATATCCCATTTCGTGTGAAACAAACTTTTATTTATCAAGTGACATGTTTGGCAATCATCATGTTATTTAGGTGGCAAGTATAGTGTTTACACAATTGTGTTTCTTGGTATTCTTTGAAATAAAAGAAAAATGTATTACTAGCTCATAATAATTGTTTTCAAACAAAGAATTTGTCATGAGCAAAACAGTTAAGGACAGGGAGTATTTAGGGAGATAGTTTTGTTAACGAAGTCTGAGCGCTATATCATAAGAATAACCCCCAAAATATTTATGGTTCCGAACTTTATTTTCTTTGGAAAAGGTTCCCAAGAAACATTTATAAAAGATGTGTATACTAAAAGAAGTATTTCTTAAAGGTGCTATCCATTAAGACTGTGAAAAGCATGTTCATTATGTAACTAATTAGTATTCGGATACTAGCTTATTTTTTTCACAACAATATTTTCCCAAGAAAAACATGCCTCATCCTTGCACATTTATTTATGAGTACCTAATATGAATTCTACTCAGAAAAGTAATTGGTGCTCACTATGGCATCTTATAAGATATGCATGCAATTTATTTCTGCTTATAAAACTATTTCCAACTGGACATGTTACTGTTGTACAAATTCTTCATAAGCCGTTGTTTCAGATATATATTTTCTGCCTTTTTACCTTTGCTTTAAAACACATGTTGTAGTCATATGGCTCTTTCTAACAGGAGTGTATGCTTTAAACACATTTATATCATCTCATAAAACCATCTTATGTGCGATACCAGTATATATCTGTATGTAAATGGTAACTCAAGTGGTTTCTTTCCTTTCTATCATCTTTTCATGGGTCCTATTATACGAAGCAATAAGGTAATCAGAACTCTACCATCACCAAGTAAGGGATAGTGGGCTAGCCTAGCAGTTAAAGTGTTTGCTCACCAAACTGAGGTCCTGGGTTTGATTATCCATGTGTATAATGTGTGAAGCATTTTTTTGGAGTTCCCTCCTTAATATTGCATAAGTGCTTAAAAACGTTTCTTGCTTACTCACTCACTTAACCATGGTAACAGAATTATGACATTCCTGGTACTGAGGTTTAGTATAACAGCACCCGCACTTCAAATATCCTAAGAGAAACAAATAAAGGAACACAGGAAAATTCAAGCATTCCTTTAACATTTTCCAGTTTTCATCACCAGCTTTGAATAGCGCTGTGGGAGGAAATCTGAGAATAACTAAGGGAACACTGCCATGAAGTGTTCCCTTTCTTGTTTCCTTCAGTATATGATCCTAAATGTACACATGCCATTTCATGCATATCAATGAGCAAAAGGCAATATCTGATTATGTAACAGGATGTCCGTGAGGTGGGACCTGGACCGTGGATGTTTTTTATCTGTTTATCTGTTTTGATCTTGTCACACACCAAGAATAACAGTTCCATGTGCCATATTTACTACTATATTGATTTCCCTTCGAACTTTTGTTTTTTTATAAAGTTGGTTTATAAAATCATCCTACATTACTCCCCAAAATAAATGAATTTAACAAAACTAATTTTGGGGTGAGCATGTGCCATGTTTAGATGAAATTAAAAACATGACACATACTGTGTCCTTCTCTGTAGTAATTGGTGGTTTACCTTAAAGTGTCATTCAGATATTTTTTTCAGTTCTGTCATATTTTACTTGATGTTTTTCATTCATCAATATAAAGTCCTTTATCTTTTTCCAGACCATGTACATCAAATTGTAAACCATAAAAAACCCAAAAGGCCTTGGGGTGTGAGTCAGCACGTGGGTGTTTGTTGTTCATGTCAAGGTCAAGTTGTTTCCATGTGAATTTGGTGAACATGATGGCTTGACTGTCATCTATCAGGGACATCATGCAAAATAACATGAATTCCTGGACCTCAGCTGACCAGCCAGGCATCACATGACTTCCTGGACATCAGCTGACCAGCCAGACATCACATGACTTCCTGGACATCAGCTGACCAGCCAGGCATCACATGACTTCCTGAACATCAGCTGACCAGCCAGGCATCACATGACTTCCTGAACATCAGCTGACCAGCCAGGCATCACATGACTTCCTGAACATCAGCTGACCAGCCAGGCATCACATGACTTCCTTAACATCAGCAGCTGACCAGACAGGCATCACATGACTTCCTGGACATCAGCTGACCAGCCAGGCATCACATGAATTCCTGAACATCAGCTGACCAGACAGGCATCACATGAATTCCTGGTCCAACTGTTCAGTCTTCTGAGGAGGTGGTAAGGAGGGGGGATCCTGTTTCTGACTAAATATTCTTTTGACTTTTATTTCAGTCACTATTTTCCCTCACAGGATTATCAAAACAATGTTCCTATGAACACATAAATACTTTCCTGCTCAGCCACGATTAATTGTGGGTAATCTGCGACTAAGTAACCTTGTCTAGTGTTCAAATAAGATCCAGGACACACTGAAATATAACCAATAAAAATGAAATGGTCAGTTTCAGACATTCAATGGACAATATTCTGATTTCTATATTTTCCAAGTGTACATTGTGTTTGATAAGAGCTTACCATGTTCTGTCTAAAGTCATGAGCAAGTTACATGGCGACACTTGCTCACTGTGGCCAGTGTAATCAGCCCATGATTTAACAATGTCATGTTAATGTTTTATAAACCTTATACAATTTGTATCAATTTATTTCACAAGCTAACTAGAAATAAATGATATGTGAAATACATACTTGTCATGTGTGATTTCTTGTTGATCTTCCTCGTGATCTGGGTTAGAATTATCTTCAGGAACCCATGGTAATCGGGCATAGCACTTCCAGCTACACAAGGTGCTCACTTGCTTCATGGCTGTCCGTGTTTGGATCTTTGATTTGTCTGTACCACGTGAATCACTTACTTTATTCCCAGACATAGATTTCCGTAGTTTTACATGAAAACAATATATCCCAACTTATTTTGCACAGTGTATATCATTTTGGAAATTTTGGAAACGTCTCCAAAATGTACAATGATGGCATTCCTTAAGACGTACTCACCTTAAGACGTACTCACCAAAAAGAACTTCACTGCAGTTGAGGTCAGAGGGCAACTTTCAAGATTCTTGAAATGGCCGCATGGACAATATGTTGGCGATGTTGCCGAGAGAGTAACGGAGTTGCTTGTTACAGTCCACACTTCAACCCATCGATTGACACCTTTCATATCAGCGTCTGCCATTAAACTATACACAAAGACCTTAATTAAGCACCCCCTGTATTTTTGCAATGATAGGTTTTCAACACTACATAAAACTTCTCGTGGTGACCACGATGGAAAAACGTGTTTTTTTCTGACCCGTATGATCCTTTGATTCATGAAAAATACGACCTAATTGGAATCCATGTTGATTTTATTATGATATTTGCTCATTAAGAAAGACCCACTGATTTTCATACAAAACCATGTCTGTACAAGCATGACCTTGGAATGTTTAATGTTGAATTTATTGGTGAACATTCAAAATGTTATTTTGAGAGTCTCACGCGATTCAAGGTCAATACCGAGTGTAACCTCCATGTGACTGTATGACAGCCAGCACTCTCCTCCTCATACCCCCTGTCATCCTCCTGATCCTCTGAAGGGTCAGTCTACGCCATTTCATGTGTAAAGCAGCTTCCAATTGGACCAGGTTCTGCACAGGAGGATCCCTTTGTTGCACATGACGACCAATCATGTCCCAGATATGCTCCAGGGGCCGGGGGTAGCCCAGTGGTTAAAGCGTTGGCTCGTCACGCCGAAGATCCGGGTTCGATTCCCCACATGGGCACAATGTGTGAAGCCCATTTCTGGTGTCCCCCGCCGTAATATTGCTGGAATATTGCTAAAAGCGGCGTAAAACTAAACTCAGTTAGTCAGTCAGATATGCTCCAAAGGGTTAAGATCGGGACTCAATCAATCGTGAAATGTGTCAGGGGGTGCGTAACTAAGTTCTTTGTGTATACATTGTCCGAGACAATTTTGACAGCGTTTTCTGGAAGAGGACATGTAACAGGAGTTTCAGGGCAATTTAATTTTTTGTCCCTTCACCAGAGGAAGTTCATGTTGATGTTATGTTTTCATCCTTTGAACGTGGCTCACTAAACGGATATCGGTATCACAATGCAGCTGTGTCAGATGTATCGTGTTAGAACTGATCTTCAGCAACCATGCTTGTTGTAAGAGGCGACTAACGGCATCGGGTGGTCAGGCTCGCTGACTTTGTTGACACTTGTCATCGTATCCCAATTGCGATGCTCATGCTGTTGATCACTGGATTATCTGCTCAGACTCCATTATGTACAGACCGCCGTCATTTGCTTGATTAGTGAGTGCCGGTTAAACAACAAACAAACCAAACGTTTTAAAATATTTCATAGAAACTCAAGTGAATGGAATCTTGCCATCTGCGTTTTACAGATGTGTTGTCTTTAATTCACGTTACCTAGACAATAAAAGATGTCCGAGATTTTTAATGTTTTATTCCGCACTCGTGAACCGTAAACAAAATTGAAAAATTTATGAACAATTTTATTTTTCCGAAAACACTTTTCATGATTTGGAAACGGGCGTAAAATATCACTTGGTTGCGTACATGTATTTGAAAAATCGATTTTCGAAAACATTGCGGTTTACTAACACTACTGTGGCCTATGTTGCAAGTGATATCTATTTGAGAATTGACATCAGTTTAAGGTATAAACGTAAAAAGTGGTGTGCACAGTACGTAGCTTTGTGGTTAAAGCGTTCGCGCTTCACCCCAAAGTCCAGGGTTCAAGTCCCCACATGGGTATAATTAGACTAAGGCTTAGTCTCTGAATATATATAATTTTGATAATAACAAACAAGCCCATTTATATTGAAAAGGAGCCCTAGGGAGACCAGAGATTCTGAACCTGACGAAATCTAGACTTGCTTTATTTAGGGCTTTAGCACTGCAGAGAGGGCTTGGCAGTAGGGAAATTAATGTGGTTCAGGGACTGTGAGACAGACTAGGGTATAATGTGTGAAGCCTTGATACTGTTGGATTTTTGCTTAAAGCGGCGTAAAACCATACCCACTCACACTGTTCCACTGTACCTTCTTGATGAACATACAGTGTTCTTGTACAAATGTTACGAAAGGTATCTGCCGTACATTTGACATTTATCAAATGAAATTAATGTGATATGTAGATATTCCTGACAATAGATGGAAGTTCGTAAACATGAAAATACTTGAGCCTAACCTTTTCCCAAGAGCGTATATAAAATTACGTGATTTCGTACGAGCAGGTTCTTTTGTTTTGTCCGTCGGGGGCTTGTCGAGTGGTTACTCCGAAGATCATGCTGATTTTCAATCCGATGATCAATACGAAGACTTTGCCGAAGATCCAGGTCTTATTCTCAACATGGACACTGCGTGGAATACTGTTTAAATAAATGTCTAAAACGAAATTTGTTTATAGTGGTAAACTACGTTTATAACGTACACGCCTATAACTGCTGAAACTCTTTCCACCACCCCTCTCTTCTTTCTCTCCCCCTCTTTCTCCCTCCCCTTTCTCTCTCTCCCTCCCCCTTCGTTTTAACCGTAGTTTACTGTATACTGGACATGGGGCAGCCCTGTGGTCAAAGCTCTAGCCAAAGTTCCGAGTTCGGTTTTCCACATTGGTTCATTGTACAGCCAATTTCCACCGCTATGGTGTGGTTGGAATCACCACCATACGTTGTGTGATTTTGCATAAGTATGGCGGACTCTGTTTCGGGTTCTGCAGAGGAACTTACCCTGCACTGCAGCAGGCGGCCTTCAAATGTATGTTGGAAAGTCTTCAACATAATTACACTGTCACCATTTTCATACCTATATTCACGCACTCAACCCATGAGCATTCAGGTTATAACTGGGCCCAGATTTTCGAAAAGTTCGTAGCCCTAAGAATTCTTAACTTTGATCGTAGCCAATGTGTTAAGAATGGGCTTTAGAAGTTCGTAGGGCTACGAACGTTTCGAAAACCTAGGCCCAGGTCTTCAGCAACCGGTGCTTGTAAGAGGCGAGTAGCGGTATCGGGTGGTCAGACTCGCTGACTGGGTTGACGCATGTCGTATCCCAGATGCGCAGATCGATGCTAATGATGTGAATCACTGGATTGTCAGGCCGAGACTCTATTATTTACAGACCACCGGGTCATGTAGTTGGAAAATTGCTGAGCGAAGCGTAAAACTAAACTCACTCACTCACTCTTACCATTCTCTGCGGTGTACGATTTTAACAAACCAATAAACGTACAAAATAGCGCTGCGATGATCCTAATTCCGACGCTCCTACAGCGTGCAAGTGGGCCCTCATCCAAATATTGGCAAAGGAAAAGAATAAACGGTTGTTATGTATTTTATTCACTGAAAATTACAAATTCAAGATTATCCACAATCAGAAAATCATTCCTATGGATTCTTCACTATCACCTCTATTGCTGTTATACATCTTGTGAAAATTTATAGACCAAAGTGAGACATTACGTTCAAATTTTCACCTGTCTTTTATAACGTTAAGGCGAACCATGTGATTCTCACTGCAATAATCAAGGCACCATCGACAATGTTTGCACGCTGATGCATCCACCTTTTCCCCAAGTGTTTAAATTGTTGTTATCCAGTGCGTTCTATTACTATACTGTTACTATATATAGCAAAGATGCTTAAATTGAGCCCGATTCTTCTGACGTGGTGCTATAAATAACCTGACGTCACTTCCGGAACGAAACCATGGGTGGTGAATGGGCCCTGGGTATTCCTGCTTATAGAATGATAGTATTTCACCCTGGGTAATGAAGGTTTTGGTTAAATTTTTGCAACATCTAATCATGTCCTTTTGGTTGTGCTTTTGATGGTTCAAGTGAAACGAAGTCACGTTATATACCTTGGTGATGTGTATATAATCGGGTATGGCCCTGGCAAACCAGGGGTTGATATCATGAGCAACTATATAGGGCCCAGTTTCACAAAGCTATCGTAGCGCTACGACTGTCGTACGTACCTCCTATACTGTAACAGACTTACGACAGTCGTAGCGCTACGATAGCTTTGTGAATGAAACCCTGAACCTAGATTTTCGAAGCTCTCTTAGCGCTAAGATAGTCGTAAGTTAATGTTAATGTATGGCACTTACGACTATCTTAGCGCTAAGAGAGCTTCGAAAATCTAGGCCCAGGCTGATACGGGGCTAGGATAAAGTTCCTGGTATTTGAGGTACGATAATACAATCAGTCTGCTAGGCATTGTAACCCTTTGCATAACTGTAGCATTCGAGATTAGGTAAGGTTGTAAGCTCCCACTGAGATAGCATTAAACTGAATAGTCGGGTCAACGGCTGAAATTAATAGACGCCGGGGCATGTATTAGAAGTAATACGGTAGATATTCTGTACCGGGGTTACACAGATAAGAGTAGACGTAACCTAACATGCCTCCTTCCATCAGTATACAAGACATAACTACATAAATTGGCGTGCAAAATTATACACTTCAAATTGGTATTTGACCAATAATTACAAATGTTATCAAACCGTTAATAGGCTGACAAAAGTTACCGAAAAACAGACCAATTCAAGTCTAAATTCCATTTCTCATACTTCCAGAGTTATAACAACCAACTGAAAGTTATACTAGAATGTATAAGTGCGGCTAGCTTCTGCTTGGGATAAAGCCCCGCGTTAACTTTAACGCTAGGTAGACGTTGGAATGTCAGAGAACCACCCATAAATAATTACAAGTACATGTACTCTGACAATGCTCTTAAATTACCCATATCATTGTCAGGAGTACTTTGTACTGTCAGACCTTTCGTTGTTTCGTATACGTCGCTGTACAAATTGTTGCCTTAAAGTGTGTCAGCTGGTCTAACGCCCCTCTTAGCAATATTCCAGGAATATCACGGCGGGGACACCAGAAATGGTCATCAGACATTGTGGGAAATCGAACCCCGGTCTTCAGCATGAGGAGCTAACGCTTCAGCGACTGGACTAACCCACCGCCCCCTGTTACCCTATAAAGGAGGTATGCGAATGTTAAAAATGATATCACTAAGTGCTTACTGTCTCCTCCATGCCTAACCTTTATTACTCATGAGCCAAACTGTAAATCTACATGCGGAATCTCATGTAATTCTCTAATGGTTTGGGGATACATTTATTACCTTAAAACATTAGTAAGTACATTTACTTAAACCGATATAAGAATGTTTCGTAAATAACTAACAAACACACTGGGTTTTGTTTTGTATGTTAGTATTAATATACTGCGGGGTAATGTGCTCAGTATGGTAATATTACCCATTGTTTCATCTGCACAATTTATATATTCTTTTATGGATATTAATAAATATTATTCCATGCAGTCTTTTGTGGATAATCACTATAAGTATGTGCTTTTTAAACAAACTTTTCGACCTATAAGTAAAACTGTTGAAGTTTGACAAATATAAAAATAACATTGAAATCTAATAAGATGTTTTTGGGCTCGGGTCAAAAGCCATATATTTTCATTTGGAAGCCAAACTAAAACATGACAAGTTGATAAGTATTGTAAGGACAACACAAAACTTCTTTGACTTCTTTGACTTCGTTGTAGAAGACACGACAACCATAGCGCATAGGATTATCTGCAAATTTCAGCTTCCATGACTGCATTTGGTTTGGAAAATAATTTACTTGAATCCAATATGGCCGCTACAGCAGTCATATTGGATTCAAGTAAATTATTTTTTATTAAATTAAATTATTTATTTTTTAAAGTACGCATACCGAACTCCGGATGAAACGAAGGACACGGTAAGATATAAGGCCCTTCGGGAACTGCATTATTTAATAATTGAGCAAACTTATAGAAATTGTCATGAAGGTTATCGGATTCAGGACATTAGTTAGAATGGAATGTGACCAAAATGCTGAATTAAGAGGTTTAATGACGCATTCTTCACATGCGTACGTCTTTGGCCCATGTTGATTTTGATAGCTAATAATATTAGATTCTCAGATCGTTTCGAAATTCGGCTTTCACATTCATTTTAGCCACGAATGATGTTTAAAACAGGTCATATGTATGATCGGGAATGAAAGACTGGATGTGAGCCAGCTTTGAAAAAAAGTAAAAAAAGTAAAACCTGAATTAGGGAAAAAAAGCTTTGTTCGAAAACGTACGACTCGCCACGACATAAAGTCTCCAAAACGTTGTGTTCAGGTGAGATAAAATCTCGTAAAGTCTCGTGTTAGGTTTTTGTACGTCCTCGGGAATGTATCACAGTTCTTGAGTTCCTTTGAAATATCACGCACAGTTCAAGGGTTCCTGGATCATGTGTAAGTAAACTGGAATGACTGTGATCCATGTCAACTGCCTGAATACATACGTTACAGTACAAATCGATGAAAGAGCAACAGTGTATGTATCCTTTCTTTTCTGACGACTATTTCGCCATCGTTTAAAATCACAAACCGACAAACGGATATTAGAGTTATGTCCCTTGACACAAACTCCCTCTAGTTGTCTCCACTGGATCGTCACACTATGCGCTCCATTCCACCGGTGACAGATTCATTATGCTCCAGGTAGAGTATAGAGTTCCTTGGTCAGATCGATGTGTGTTGGTGGGTGTCCAAGTCTAACCAAAAGACTCCTGATTTGTCCCTGCCCCTAGAGCGGGTCGGTGGGGCCTGGGGCTGACGGCTGGGGTGGAAGGAAAACTGAGGGCGGAGCTTGAACGCCGCGTCTGTAACAGTAAAAAAATATAGATTAAGTACGATACTTATTAATCACAATTAACGAATACGATACGGTCATAAATCTATATTTGTTGTTGTAGTACTCGTTCCAAGGACGTTGGGGTCCAGGAGGTATATTTCACTGTTTTAAGACGTGCAGAGTTGTCTACCTTGACCGTACCAAGATCCGCAGTCTCGTCGATCCTAATGGCTAACGGCGTTACATGGCTCACAGATTCAGTATCCCTTACCCACGTATTCAATCGCTGACCGATGTATGCAGATAGCGGAATGACACAAGCGGACCCGAGAGACTAGTGAATTAGACCAAAGGACACCAGACTTCAATAACAGAGATCAAATGACATATTAATCTACCCCTACTGTATAAGTATGTCTCTTTTATAATCAGATATATACTTGATACCTTACTCGTCGCATTTGCGTTGATTTGAACCCGATTCCAAAAGCATGATGTTGAAAATAGCTCTCAAGTCAAATGACACTGAACTGAAGGCGAGAAACATTGAACATTGTAGGTTCTTTTTAGAAGGGGATACTGACGTTGTGCTAGTTTAATGTTTGACCCCCTCGCTATAAAACCCTTTAAGATCCGGGTTAGAACTCATCTTGAACAACCAATGCTTGTGGTCAGAGCCAACTCATGGGATCAGGAGACTGACATGGTTGATGTTTGTAATCGTATCCCAGTTGCGTAGATCAATGCTTATACTATCAATCATTGGATTATCTGATCCATACTCGATTATTTACAGACCGCCGGAATATTGCTGACAACAAACAAACAAACATCACTCTATAAAGGGGGGTGGGGGGTGGTTTCATAATACAAAGGACTTAAGTAAAGTGAAAGAAAATGATCAAATAATGATAAATATATTGGGTCAAAGTTGCCATTTGTTTAAACTCAATCCATCGTCAGTCTCTCTGGCAACCACCGTCAAGAACCTGCCTGCCTATCATTATGGCATCACTTAATTAGTAATGGCTTTCGGAAGATTCCGCTCTCACATATCACCCTAAATGAACCAACACATGACGCAAGTACGCACTGAGCTTTTATTGACAAGGAAACCTCTTTCATCAAGCGTCAGTTGGAAGGAAGGATAACAATGCGAAAATGAACAACTCCTTTATTAAAGTGGGAGCGACGTTTTGGTGTCGGTTCTTAAACCGATATCAAGCAAGTGCAGGCACCGAAACGTCGCTCCCACTGAAAAAAAGAAGTTGTTTATCCATATATTGTTCTCCTTCTTCAGTGATCCAACTTCTAAATGTCCCTCAAAGATTTAGCGTCAGTTGGTTAGGTAAACGACTTAAGCATTTGAAGCAAACCGTTGATATTTTTATGCTTCGTTTCAAATGGCATCAAAAGAAACAGTTATAGTAGAGGTACCTGGAACTTTATGATAAAGAAGTTTGGACGTTTCCAAATTTCTGTTTTCAAGTGATTCCTAAACACATTATGTTTATGTAGGCATGGTGGTTGTGGATTCGTTCAACAAAAGAGTATTGTCCCTTTATTTGCAAGGCGTACCTCAAGGCAGCGTGCTGTCACCAAGGATATTATCGAGGAATATCAACGACCTGGCTTCACCCGTCTGATCAAGGAATTAGAATACCCTGAGATTGATGAGTTCATTAAAGGAAGCTGAAATCAATCCTCAACAAAGAACAAGCAGATCAGGAGTATGTATCGACTTTATTATGCACGACTACAGCATTAAAACATCACGAAGTGGCGGAGACTCGAGGCAGTTCAGTGACCTTACTGGTTATATTATGCCGTCATTCCAGTTAGACATACTCCTGATTTATAGTGTATATGTTTTATGTACTATAGGAGTGAGTGACTTTAATTTTACGCCGCTTTTAGCAATATTCCAGGGATGCTGACTATCAACACTGTAACAGGGTGAGTGAGTGAGTTTAGTTATACACCGTCTATAGCAATATTCCAGCAGTATCACGGCGGGGGACAGTAGAAATGCACTTCACACATTGTACCCATGTGGGGAATCGAACCCTGGTCTTCGGCGTAACAAGCGAACGCTTTAACCACAAGGCTACCCCACAGCTCCGTGTAGTATAGGAAGATGCAAATATCCCATTGAAAAGTGGAGCAGTATATGTACGTCATGTGTTCTTATGATCATGGTTTGTTGTTATTTACGAAATGATTCAACAACAACACCCTACAGTGATGGCGACACTGATTGAAAACCACTTCTATCTAGTTTTCTTTGATAAATATGAGACTGCTGTTAGAGCCAGTCACCGCACAGCAATGGGTGTGTATTCAGGTTGCACTAATCGAATGACAGACACTAGAAGGTGGAGGCACGTTGAATGCATTTCTATTGCATGTTGGATAAATGTAATTTTTTAAAAACGTTTATATCTTTTTTAAATTTACACGTTTATGCATAAATGTATATTCATACAAATAAAGTATAACAGTTTGACCAAAGTTTCTAGAGATAATTTCCATTACTGGATGTATGTTGTTTTTAAGTTCTACAAAGTGAGATCCTGCATAAATTGCAATATTGATGAATTATTATTTCATGCTAACAAAATAATGACAATAATGATGAGGTTAATTATGCTTCAGTTTAGATATAACAATATGAACATGGTATACTGTGTATATAGTTTCTCTGGTACAACACCCTATGATATCAGGGTTATATGTATACATGTATATTAGTGCTGGGAATTGGTCAAAATCTCATAATTGATGATTGGTTCATTACAACCAATCAATCATCGAAAATAATTGGTTAGCGTCATTTATTTAATTTTCCTGATTATTTTTGTTAATGGACAAAAAAAATAAAGAAAAAACCCTGTAGTTCTTTGGTGTTTTTGCAAATTGCACAAAAGGCATTGGCAAATTTCACATCTTTAAAGGATGACTAGTAGGTTAGGAACACTAATTTCTTGGAGTCTTGAAGATAAATTCAACCATGACTTGGAACGAGCTTGTGGTACTCATGAAATGTAACAGACAAAACCAACCTTATGAAAAATATTGTTAATGCAAACAAGTGTTCCAGAATTGTTTGCGTTCGATTATGAGAAAACATGATCGATTGCTTGGTCGTTTAGTCACTGCGACCAATCTTCGATTATTTCAATTAATCGGACCACCACTAATGTATATAAAGTTTAGACTCACTAGTGTAAATGTAACCACCTACTGCAAAATATTCCATACTGTTTGAAGGTACTATTTACACATGAACTGATGTATTGTAAAGAAAATTAATAAAGTTGAAAAGATAATTGTCATAAGTTCAATAAATGATGAAACACAGTGAACATTTTTCGTGACAAAACTTTACACCAAAACGCAGCTGTTCACATGCACGATATTTGCACATGCCTTTCAGCACTTTGATGCATGGTCCTCGTGGAATTCAGCCCATAAGGTTTGCAGTTGGTTCCTCCAAGTTAGAGGAGAAATTCATCTTCGTTGTAACCATATGTATAACACATATAGTGAGTGCTTAAAGTGAGTCTAAACTTTTCATGGGTAGTATATATTCTTGGGTTTAAGTGCGAGGCATGTCGTCACTTCATACTTTCTTGTGGAGTTTATCAAATTGGTAAACGTCTGAGATTTAATTTAATTTTTATGTTCAAAACTCACACACTCAGTTTTGGAGGGACGAGTTTTGTATTTTATGTTTATTGTTTAACGTCGCTCGCGGCAATATTCCAACTATATTGCGGTGGTCTGTAAGAATCAAGTCTGGACCAGACAATCCAGTGATCAACAGCATGAGCATCAATCTACGCAGCTGGGATACGATGTGTCAACCAAGTAAGCGAGCCTGACCACCCGATCCCGTACGACAAGCATGGGTTGCTGAAGACCAATTCTAACTCTGACCTTTACGAGTAGTTTCGTAACTTGATAATTCTTTCGTCACAATAATCGTGGAACTGTTGCGGAGTATAACACCAAATGGGTGAGCAGAAGTGTTGTAATACGTTTACGACATGTAAAACTTCCGAATCCAGGGATGTTTACTACGCTTCACAAACAAACAAAATGATACGCACGCATGCGCACACCACCAACCCCACTCCTTCTAGACCCCTGTGGACTTGAATGGCAATATTCCAATATCATGCATATTTTATTCTTGAAAAAAGATTTCGTTCTGAAATATTTGAAATGAATCCGACTGCGCAATCAATACCTACTGTGGAAACACAACAAAGGCGTAGATTTAAAAAAATTGAGACTGTAGACAATTAAAGTATACTGTTTGAAGTGTGGCGACAAGAATCGACTACAGTTGATATCCATCATGACGGTAGTTGCAATATTCTGCTTCTCATATCGAAAATGTTACAATGATATGTCGACTTATCCGGACCTTTTGAATCATGGCAACATCCATATCGATCTTGTATCGATCTGAAACATTTTACAATATTGTATCGTGCCCCGGGACTTCAAGGTAACGAGATTCACTGTACCAGAATATAAATCAATTTCTTCATCCAGGTTGTGTCATACCCATGCGACGCCCTCCTTTACACACAACACACTTACATGTATATTGTGGAGAGAATTTCATCCCTCGCTGCAGAACACCAATCGACGAGATGTTGGGCGTATAGACTAACGCATAGTCTCTGAATATATATATATATAATTTTGAGTGTAACAAATAAACCCATTTAAATTGAAAAGAAGCCCCAGGGAGACCAGAGATTCAGAACCTGGAGAAATCTAGACTTGCTTCATTTAGGGCTTTAGCATGGCAGGGAGGGGCTGCAGGGAAAATAACATGGTTCACGGATTGTGAGACAGACTATGGGGCTTACTGCGGATTCACAAGTGTAATTATTTCTAACAAAGGGCGTTGGGGTAACCTAACGGTTAAGCGTTCGCTTTTAAGATCCGGGTTCGATTCCCCTCATGGGTACATGCGTGCTCGCTGTTCCACCATTGCTAAAGGTGGTGTAGACTAACATCTAGTCTTTGAAATAAACTTATTTTACAGAAAAAAAATGTTCATGCATAATAATAATAAAATATAATGAAAAGGAGCCCCGAGACTTTCTTCATTTTCTGAAACTATGGAAATCTAGACTTGCCACATATTCTAGACTTGCATGGGCGTTTTGGATATATTTGTTTCAGGGTCTGTATGACGGACTAAAAGTGTAGTAAAACCTCTCACTCACTCACTTAAACATTTGGAATGAATTTGGTGTAATGCCGCTTTTGAAAAAAATAGAAAGTCTACAGGCATATTTCGTGGTGGCGAGAAATGAAACAAACGCTGTATTTTCATACGATGATTTGACCAGGGCGTCAGAGTTGTATTTTGGAACTTAAGTTTGCAGCTTTTCGGAGCGTAATACCGGTTACGTTTCTAATTGTTAGGTCAAATCCAATTTTCAGGAGTATACTCTCTTTTGCCCAGCAGTTGAGTGGTACATGTCAGATTAATTTAACGGACCAAAGTACCACACGGTAAAAAGAGAATTGTTTACAGGTCACCTGCTGTGATGACCTAATTTGCATTCATCACTTTCCTACAAGTCTATTACCTGTGAAGATCCGGTTAAAATGGATCTTCAGCAACCCATGCTTGTAAGAGGCGACTAACGGGTCGGTGGTCAGGGTAGTTGACCTGGTTGACACCTGTCATCGTATCCCAATCTTATCTTCCCCAACACTGATGCCCGTCACAAATACATGCAAAGGCAAGTCAAATATTCACCTAAACAATCCCGAGAGCATATACTAGAAGTGAGTGAGTTTGGTTTTTACGCCGCTTTTAGCAATATTCCAGCAATATCACGGCGGGGGACACCAGAAATGGGCTTCACACATTGTACCCATGTGAGGAATCGAACCCGGGTCTTCGGCGTGACGAGCAAACGCTTTAACCATTAGGCTACCCCACCGCCCCATATACTAGAAGTTAAAATAGGAAATAGCATCAATTATATCACTGAATCGTCACATTTGAAACCTGTTTGAAAGCTTTACTAAGGCTGTGAACACTATTACCCTATAGAGAGACAACCGTTCCCCGTTGTATGAACTCTTCCTAGATGGACCTCGTTCCCCCAAGGTTGTGAATGTAGACACCAAACTTAAGACTTGCTGGAATACTGCTCGATATAAAGGAGAAGCTGAAGCAATATCTGTCCTCAAACACTCTTATGGATTTTACTTGCCACTGTGAATCTTAGATCTAGTGTGTACTGGGTGCAGTGGGTAACCGGTCTCTTTTATTTCTATTTCAGGAGGGTTAATCAGTGGAATGGCCTGTTTGACCATTATTGAACAGGGCCCCGTTTCACAAAACTCTCGTAAGCCTAAGATACTGTAACATAGGAGGTACGAATGCTACGAGAACAGTTACGAGATCTTAGGCTTACGAGAGCTTTGTGAAACGGGGCCCTGACCCGTGAAGATCCGGATTAGAATTGGTCTTCAGTAACCCATGCGTGTCGTAAGAGTCGACGAACGGGATCGGGTGGTCAGGCTCGCTGACTTGGTTGACACATGTCATCGTATCCCAATTGCGTAGATCGATGCTCATGCTGTTGATCACTGGATTGTCTGGTCCAGACTGGATTATTTACAGACCGCCGCCTTATAGCCGGACTATTGCTGCGTGCGACGTTAAACAACAACCAACCAACCAACCATTATTGAACTATACGAGATCATCGATACACATGAAGGTTAAACTTCTTGTCAAAATTGCCATGTTTAACTTCTTGCCAATCCGAGGAGACATTTCTGACTCGTAAGCAGATCAGAATGACAGGGGGCGCAACTGGTCCCCAAGGGAGATGCATTTCTCTTGCATACATCTCACATCCCCAGTTTTTATCATAAACGTTCCTATGGGGATTTGACATGTTTTTTCTCAGAAAAACTGCAGATAACATTTGCTTTCATTTTTGACAATCTGTCCTGACCAACTGAAGGTGCAGCTATATACCACCATTTCAGTGTATAATGTCAAGGATAATGAAATGAAGTTTTTTCCTGAAGCTTGTCGTGTCGGATAGTGATTTAAAAGTTAAAAATATAATGCTTTGACAGAATTGTCTATAATTCAACTAAATGGTTTTTTTAGAATACACATAATATCATTTTCACTTGTCTCAAATATTGTTGGGAATATACAGAAAATCCTTCCTTGATTGTGTTAAGGGAATGGCTATTCTCTGAGACAGTGATTTGGTGGTACACTTGCTTAGCCCTGCAATATATATACTTGTGTATGTCCAGTATAATGAGTGAATGAGTGAGTTTGGTTTTACGCCGCTTGTAGCAATATTCCAGCAATATCACGACGGGGGGCACCAGAAATGGGCTTCACACATTGTACCCATGTGGGGAATCGAAACCGGGTTTTAGGCGTGACGAGCGAATGCTCAAACCACAAGGCTACCCCACCGCCCCATATCCAGTATAAAGGAGAAATGAACATGCCTTATGTTTTATTGTCAGGTCAATGGTTTAAACTTTTGATGTTGTGGCAGATTTCTTCCTCAGTTACATTCTGAAATGTGTCACGTTGTGATCTTATATGTGACACATTCTGGTCTTATACGTGTCACATTCTGGTCTTATATGTGGCACATTCTGGTCTATATGTGACACATTCTGGTCTTATATGTGACACATTCTGGTCTTATACGTGGCACATTCTGGTCTTATACGTGGCACATTCTGGTCTTATACGTGGCACATTCTGGTCTTATACGTGGCACATTCTGGTCTTATACGTGGCACATTCTGGTCTTATACGTGGCACATTCTGGTCTTATATGTGGCACATTCTGGTCTTATACGTGGCACATTCTGGTCTTATATGTGGCACATTCTGGTCTTATATGTGGCACATTCTGGTCTTATACGTGGCACATTCTGGTCTTATACGTGGCACATTCTGGTCTTATATGTGGCACATTCTGGTCTTATACGTGGCACGTTCTGCTCTTATATGTGACACTTTCTGGCATTATTCTATATGTAAGTTAGAAATGTCCAGTTATTTGCTCAAACAATGTCGATACGGTTACATACAATGCCCCCGATATTTAAGGCCTTGGCAGTTGGAACAACTAGACATATAGGGCAGCAAGACTATAGGTGATTGCTGACTTGGTCATACTGATATTATTCCAATTTTGTTTCCTCTTCATCAAGTGTAGATCTGACCTTAACTGGAGCAGATCCACCGGCCAAAGGATTAATCCTAGCTAAACACTGGAGTCATTAAAATAAATGTATGGGGTAGATCTGTGTACGAGTTATTTATTCTTCTGATTACACGTTCACATCGTCTCGATGGTACGCATGTGTCATTCCGCGACAAGCCTGATTGGGATTCGTACCCTCTTAATGCCGTATAAAGTGTGAAGCCCATTTCTGGTGTCCGCGCCGTGATATTGCTGGAATATTGCTAAAAGCGGCGTAAAACTGAACTCACTCACTCACTAATGCCGTATAAACACTAGCACTCATTCATGATGGAATTGTGTCATTGCGGAACAACGGGGGTTTAGTCTCCCTTTAATCCATCACGCTATTCATGGAGTCTCTTCAAACTGAATTTCGTTCACATCATCACCAGTGTCAACATATTTTTATTCAATCCAAATCTATAAAAGGTCTTCTTTCAGCAACACAACCACATATATGATTGTATCACACACATATGATTGTATCACACAGAGGATTGTATCACACACAGATGGTTGTATAACACACATATGATTGTATCACACACAGATGGTTGTATAATACACAGAGGATTGTATCACACACACACACACGTAGGAAAAGATTGCACAAAGTATTTACAAATTTACAACATGCCAACATCAAACTAACTGTCGACCAACAAACACAGCAGTAGGGTAAAGTTCAGATGTAGAAAGAGAGTTTGAAACAATCCAGGAATTTCAGAGAAATGTTGCCTGTGTCAACTAATATGAAGCTGTGATCGTAAATGTAAGGAATAAAAGTTAAAATTAGCTGGCTTAAGTAAACACGTGGAAATTTCATTTTATCGATTATCGAGCGTTGAATGTGTACTTACAAAGTGTAGCGAAAGTATCAACTCCTGGATTGTTTACACTGAGACAAAGACATGTCGAGGTGACCCAGTGTCAGTGTCATTATATAACTGTCACCTTAAATACTGCTTTAAATACTGCTTAAATACTGAAATATGGCTCATACATTATGTTGACTGGCTGATACAAGTATACAATATTGCAGCTACAGGGCGGCGGTCTGTAAATAATCGAATCTGGACCCGACAATCCAGTGATCAACAGCATCGATCTACGCAGTTGGGATACAACCAAGTCAGCGAGCCTGACCACCAAATCCCGTTATTCGCCCCTTACGTGAGTGAGTGAGTGAGTGAGTTTAGTTTTACGCCGCATTTAGCAGTATTCCAGCTATATCACGACGAGGTCACCAGAAATGGGCTTGGAGTATCAGAAGTATCACACGATGGTCAAAATATACACACAAATCTGACACTGGGCCTGCTCGTGTAGGTATTTTATAAACAGAGACAATACAAAAATGAGAAGTCTATATTTACATGGGGAAGGTCCAAGCGGGCAGCTACATCACAGTGACTGTAGGTGTAGGGATCGACACGTCACTCTTACCTTGCACACTAAGTGTAAGAAACTCCGACATTTCAATACTAGTCTTATTAAGATCAGGAGCTGATCGGGGTCTTTCAGAGTCAGAGTGGAGCAGTTGTGTCCTACTGGCAACGTTTTCACTACTGTTGTGGCGTTCAATAGGCTGAAACTGATACCGAGGATGAGGATGGGGAGGGGAATGTACTTCAGCAATACTGAAACAGGATGTAGAGGAAGCCTGGGGTTGGATCCGAGGAAGCGGTCCAACGTCAACTGAATTGGATCCATAGACCTTCTCCATTGGACCTCTTGGCGAGGATGCCTTTGACATGGATCCATCGACTTTTTCCACATACATCCTGCAATGATCACATAGGTCCAGATCAAATACTTTGATATATTTCACGGCAGGTTGGTCAGTAATTATTTCACCCTCGTTTGGATTCCTTACGTCACTTCTAATCCAGAATGACTTGCGTGTGACGTCACAGTCATGCACACGTCTCCGTCTCCCTGGTGATAGGTGACGGTCACTGACTGATTTTATGTAGTGGTACTCGCGCGGGCGTTTACGCCGGAAGTAGTCGTCATCGGAAATCTGTCTATAATAGGTTGTATTGAGTTCGTCAAGGTCATACGCCGACCGGAAGCGTTTCTTCACGTTACCGGACCCCTTTCTGTTAGGAAAATCATCCAATGAAAACCGGATATCGTCTGTCGAAAGCAAGCGATCACTGTGGCCCTTCTGATACACATGGGAGTGCCCAGCTGCCTCCGATGAATAGAACTGAGGTAAGTTGACTGTCACTGGGGCGTCACTACCAGCCAGCTTACCTCTAATTCTTGGTCTACGGACCGACAGATTCTCTTCCTGGTATTCCAAAATGTATTGTTTTTTCCTGGCATATCTCCTCCGATGTCGTCTGAATGACAGCCCAAGCCCCAAGACGAACAATAAAACGATAGCAGTGTAAGGAACCCACATCATATCCATCGACAACGACATCGCCTGTGGACTCGGTGTCGTCTGCTCCACTGTCAAATTCATTAAATCAGATTTGAATATCCTTACTCACGTAATCACAAGCAGCCTACAACTAAACATCATCTTGGCTACACAAACCGTTACTGTGTTGCTCAGAAGTCAGTTCTCTCTCCTATCGGATGAAATTCGCTCTTCACAGCCACAGTCAAAGAACAATGATGTTGCATTAGTTGAAGACGTCCACGTCTCCCCCGGGGATTTCTTTAACCCCGCTACCGCTCACTCCCCTATATAAGCGACCTTGTGTCATGGCCAGATAGCGCCTCAGGGGAGCGTTTATCACTCAACGACCGACATTCCTTAATGCTAAATCAGAACACACACCCTTAACACATCTTGTTGATGAAAAAAGGTTGTCAGAATTTTGATACTAAAATGCAATTCGTCACATTTGCTAACAGGATGTTGATCTTTTTCCCAAAGGATTAAAAGCTTCCCGTTTCAGCTTGTTAACTAATAACCTCCCACGTGGCCAATGCAATTTAGAATTTCGTCGATCGTTCTTTGTGCAAGTCATTCCTTCAACGCAAGTTCTATGGGCAGATACAGGAACTACTGGCTGTGATTGTGACACATTTCATGTCAACATTCTCCAGTTATGTGTGCACACAGACGGTGTTGTAGGATTCTAGTAAATGGATGAACGTTATGACTGATATGTTGGTGTCCTTTCCGAATGCCAATGAATTAATTATCACTTTTTCATAACATATCAAACTGCCATTATCGCTGTCACAAGTTATGACATTCCAGTCTTCGTGTCCGTTCCGAATACCAATCGAAATGTATCCTATTAAAAATAGTGGCACCTACTTTCATTATCGATGCATGCCACAAAATAAGACCTTGCAGGATTCGTCTCCTTTCCGAATACCAGTCACAAATGGTTCTTATTAATAGTTGCATCTATGTCATTATATTGCATGTCACAAGTTATGGACTTCCACTCTTCGTTCCGAATTCCACCAAACAAATATCCTTTTTAATAGTGGGACTTACTGTCATTATCGACGGATGTCACAAGCTATGAACCCTCCAGTTACCGTCTCCGTTCCGAATCACAAGAATCCTTTTAATAGTGGCACCTCCTGTCACTATCAATTTCACAAATGAATGTTCTCCGTCTTGATGTCTATTTTGAGCACCATTCCATTTTGAAATTATCACTTCATCATGACATATTATGTAAATATCAAGCCTCAGCTCCCTTACTGATCAGGCTCGTAGTGTTTACTGTCTCAATTTCCAGCATATCTAGTCTGTATGAAAACTCATAGGTTCATCTTCTGGACCCAGAATGGAACGCCATTGAAATATGAACAGTAAACAATGACACGCAGTTACTGTGACTTCTCACGTCTGGAGTTTTAACAGGATGTCTGAACTCTTCCAGCGATTGATTTGCTCTGTTACACCCGTTCGTATGTTATGGCAGGTAAACGCACATACTTCAGAAGACACATGAATTATTCACTGCGGAGAACTGAGAAGCTGTTGACTTATATTGTTGTGTAGTTAGCGTGGCGGATCATATTGAACAAGACAGTCAAAAAGTTCAACTATGTTAATTCGGAATAGGATTTGACTTTTAAATCAGTTCCAAGACATAGTCCAACATAACATGGCAGTATTGATGGTGTTTGTTACCAAGGGAAGGTCAGCTTAACCTTGAATCCAATATCGATTTTCTTTTTCATATAAAACATGCATGACTGAACCATGTCATATGGACAACTCACAATCATTCGATATTTATGTGCACCAGCGGAATATCTTGCGACGAATGACAACATCACAACCACTAAACATCCAAGATATCTTGCTTCAGAAACGTTCGGTATTCTTTTATAATCCTTCCAATAAAATGTGATGGTCACCGTCAAGAATATACACTGACATCATCCAATAGTTTTCAGTTCTTGCAGTCTTCAGAACGTGGCATTCATCCCGAATACATGCCCTGGTGACGTGTCAACACCTTCACGCACTCGTACCCTGGGGTAACTCTATCTTGAAATGTCACTGCAATCTTTGGTAAAGTCTTAGATAATGGACGATGTTATGAACTGTCAGTAAAGTCTGTCGCCGTTTGACGTGTCCACCCTAGAGGGTGTTTTCGCAACCCAGCGAATCGTCGTTGCTTTATATCGGCCTGGATTTCGCTCGTCAGCCGAGATCGATATTTCCTTGGCTAAAGATCCGACGCTTTACCTTTACTCTCCCTTCTTAATTAGACATCCTTGGGGTGTTCGCCAGTTACTGAAGGCAACTTGCGTCTGTCTGACAAAGCCTTTTGACATACTTCCGGACTGGAGACACTACGGCCCTGCCACCGTTTGGTGTGATCGGGATTACAATGACGGAATGTTGAGCTGGTTCAGCCACTACTCCTTATGTGGAAGTGTTGTAAATTTAATGAACCCATGCTAGCTAACAAGACACGCAAACAGGCGACCACGTTGAGAGATTATCCGATGAACAGTAATGTTTAAGGTAAACACCGTGTGTCCGCTGTCTGTGAATCACGATCAGTTCCTCTGTGAAGCAACCCACCGTGCTCTTACTGCTGTCCGAGTATCCAGGTCAGGGCCTTCTATCCCATGTCCAGACCTTTAACAAAGTGAACGCTCTCCAGATTCACGATGGTAATTTATGACGATGACCTAGTCACTACGCCTGTTCTGATTGAAACGGAAATCGTCTGCCGTTGGTGCCAACTCATTTTGAATGGATCTCCAAATCTCATCAATGTTTTCTCACTTTTTGTAATTCGGTGACGAAGAAGCAATCATTGTGTGCTCGGTCTCTGAGTACGAAGAATCAGCTCAGGCTGTGGGACTCCGCCGTTGACAGGAATCTATAATAATGTGAAATTCGGGGAAATGTTGAACGCGAAATAGTTTCAAAATCAATGATCCCCTTCTGGCCTACTTACGGCTAATTTCCCATCAACGATTCTGTGGCATAAGGCCAAGTTTCTATTAGGAATGTTGTATGAAAATTGATTCATGTACAACAGGTTCGCTCACTTGTGAGTCACGTGGTCTGCGGTTTTTCCCTGCCGACGGTTGTGTTTGTTTTGTTGTCAAAGAAAACCTGTTCCATGGTGTATACAGAAAGGCACGCGTCGAGCAGTAGACCATCCCGCAGCTTAATGCAAACCTAATTCAGTCAGCTGTGGTTATGTGAAGGATGCAAATATGGTTCGTACGTAAAGATGGCGTGTTGCTATTGGGTTTAAAGTTGCATAGAAGATGATTGCATTTATTAAGCAGCGTGCATTCTCCGTTTAAGACGTTTGGTTGAGCCAGGTGAATAGTGGTCCCCTTGTCTCAGCGCCTTTGCTGTCTGTCGAGCTTGGGTCGAGCCAAGTGATAGAGTTCCGCCATGTTTCGCTTCAACATAGTGAATGAGTAGGCTTTTACGTCGCTTTTATCAATAATCCAGCTACATCACGGCGGTGGACACCGGAATGGGCTTCACACATTGTGTGGGGAATCGAACCCGGATCTTCAGCGTGGCGAGCGCTTTAACCATTAGGCTACCCCACCGCACATGCTCCAATACACAAGATGACTGCAGTCGCTCCTTGTAATTTAATTCGGACTTGATCGATATAATAGGCCGAAGTTTAATATTTATCGCCACTTAAGCACAATATGCTGACACTGAGCTTAGCCAGTTCTGCTCCCTTAATGTTCAGCGCAAGGCAGGGAAGTACCAAGTACCACCCCTAAGTCTTTGTTATGACGCGGCTGGGGATCGAACCACAGACTTTCGGCTCTCTGGTCTAACGCTATATCCATCTGGCCATGCAGGCGGTCTCGTATGATTTTTGTTTAACGCTGCACTCAGAAATGGTCCAGCAATATGCAGGCAGTGCAAGCGGCTGCAGAGCGTCTGTTACTTTAGAAACAAACAATGATGATAGGAAACGAATCTTGCATGCTGTTATATTTGTTGATATTGGAAATGTATTTTCTAATTTACGCCCTCAACAATACTTGGCTACGTCACTGGATATGTAAACAATCGAGTCTGGCCCGGCAAACCAGTGGCTGACGTAATGAGCATCCACCCTCGTGATAACATGCCATACAATAAAGTTAGACGTCGTAGCTGCAAATGACTGAGGTATACATCACATCCGGTAACTTTCGCAGCGTGTTCGCTGTGAAACGTTGTGGTATTCGGGGTATATGAGAGTGAGAGAATAAGGTTTTTCGCCGCTTCTTGACAGGGAGCATGTGGAGAATAGAACGCTTTAACCTCTAGGTTACCCACTCGCCATAAAGAAAGGTGATAGGGTAACTCAATATGAACCAGACAGACAGACACACACACGCATGCACACACGCACGCACGCACGCACGCAAACACGCACACATTGGTGTACGGTGACCCTCGAGACTGACAGTTGTACCATGGGTTGATGAAATTGATCGAAACACTTGTTATCCTGGAACCGACATACCCGGGTACCCACCATGTACTTGTTTCAGTGAGCAGGCACATGTCTTGCCTTGCACATATCACAAGCACCCATTAAACTCATTCAGCTTGCATTGTTTCTTGCCACAATACATTAAATCATCATAAAATACAAGATCCGTGCAGCGTTCCAAGTATTGCGACTGTTGAAGCTTATACAGGTTTACGGTTGGGTAGACCAGTGCTTGAAGCGTTCACCCGTAACGCCGGAGAACTGGGTACGAGAAGCCATGTAAGTACAATGTACAAAACCTAGTGTGGTTTCCCTGACGGAATATGGCTTGAATATTGCTAAATGCGGCGTAAAACCATACTCAGTCTCTATAGCTGTTTACTACTTTTTGTTGAAACCTAAAGGTTGAAAAAGTTCTGATAGACCCAGGCTTATTATTGCGCAGTTCGTGGTTCTAAACTGGCATGGGTTACTGAACAGCTTAAGGGGAGACCGACGGGTTAATGAATGAATGAATGAATGAATGAATGAATGAACGAACGTTCGAACGAATTTATTCGGTAATGGGACCACCGGCCCATTATACAATAAGGCTCTATCAGGGGTGGAAATAACCCATTGCCCGACGTGCGAGTCCAGTGTTTTTTTCTGTCGGGCAAGCAAATTTGTATATCACACTGTACCGGTGTCCAGTTGACTTTCCAATGTAAATTATGTTGTTTATTTAAAAATTCAACAAGAAAACGGCCGGTATGGTGGAACAATTATCAGGGCAAGTGATTTTACATGTGCCACTGTACTGGAGTACACTAGCAATTTTAATGTTATTTCCACCCCTGTCTCTACATAGGATAGCTTTTCTGATAGGAGCACTAGTCGAACATTCAATTTAAGTAGTGTTAATAGTTGTAAAGGATTTTAGGTTTATCTGAGTCTTTAATATTTTTTATCTTAATATTCTTTGTCTTGATTGGTGATTTTGAATATCTATGTCACCAGCCATTTTTAAACACCTCTCAGCACCTGTCACATTCACTGCACTGCATCCACCGTACAGATCAGTCCACAGGTTAGTTAAATTATTACTACTAAACTAAGTCTACTGTATGAAATATATTAACCTTATTGATTGTATTAAATACCTTTAAGTAATCTAATGTGTGATATTGTAAATAGTTAGGGATTTATGAGCTTGAATGTTATGAATGGAGTCATGGATGAATGTGTTAGATTTCATTGTAATGGTTATGTACTATTTTAATCTAAATGCATATTGTAAGATTTATCTGTATGATTATTGTCCAGGTGTAATAATCAGGAAATTGTAAACATGGAAGTTATGATATTTAGATTATGTATATGTTACATTCTGCATTGTACTCACTTTCAACAATGTTATGGTATTTATATTATTCACACTGTGGTTACACCTTCCGAGTACTGCTCAGTGTTCTGAGCATTGGCGACCACCCAGGTCAAAGGCTACACTTTTGTGTCACCCACATGGTATGCGTTTTTTATAGTTTCTCATCTTGATATGCCAAGATGCAAATGTTATATTGCATGTATATGTATATATGATCAATCAATGCAGATTTAGTATGTGTTTAACTATCAGTGACTATCAACTAATAGTTGTTTGAGTATGAGCTTATGTTTATGAACCTCTTATGTAATTATATTACTGCATATCATATGTATGCATTGGTTTGATAATGATATCTTAATTGTTCTTTGCAATATTTGATTTACCCGTGTGTATATATGTGAATGTGTTTGGAAATATTGACAGTATATTTTGTTGTTATTATTACAGAGTGTCACATGCCATAGCGACACGGCGAGACAACAAATAAATATATCTCTCACGACCCGCCGCCTTGGTCATTTTTTGACTTGACCAGCACAGGCTGCAACATTAATATGACCAACACATTCTAATATATAACCACGTTCATATTTAAACAGATTCTGAGTGAGTAAATGCTGTTTATATCCGCATCAGCAATTTTACATCTTTTAATTAATTAGGATTAAGGACTAGGATTAAGGCAAATAACGGGTATCGATGTGACAAAAACAAGAAGAAAACAAAGTCAACCTTAACAAATATTGCAATCAAAGAACTTTGTCCTGAAAGCAATTTCCCCAGAGACACACCCAGAGCAACAGCACACCATCAGTTCCTATCCCGGTAGCCAACCTACAGTTTCTTCGTACAATGTCCGTAGACCCCCTGCCTCGATACCAGACCTGTACGTCTACAATCTAGCTCCACCCTTACTGCAGCTAGATCCAAAGTCAATACACATCCTTTCATTGTCGTTTTCTCAGGTATGTTCCACAGGTATGATTACCTGGATACGAAAAGCAGGTAATCGATACCTAGCAAATCACGAACCATTCCGGCACAAGGTATTGTCTCTCTTCTACAGAAACTCTTGGTGGGGCAAATCCTGTAATTGTCTGACATAGTATGTTATTGATGAAGTTCGTGACTCCGATACATACATGTATACCGCCGTACATATAGAATACCTCAGTTTGTTTACGAGCATATGGGCCCAAAACAATACAGGTGTAAAGAAACATTTCCGTCCGCTACGAATAATATTTAGTCCCAGAAATATTGTTTGTTGGATAGAATAGTCTTCTGATATCAATTATATCAACCCGAGGGATCGTTAAGTATCTTTCAGTTTCAACATCAACGAGATATATGGGCCCAAAATATCAATACAGGTGTACAAACATGGATACATTTTCCGTCCTGTCATAGCATTCAATAGAATAATATTTAGTCCCAGAAGATATGTTTGTTGGATATAGATAAATAATCAAATAAATAAATACACTATTGACTGACGTCACCGATCTACTTAGAATGGGACCTCTGAAGATCCGGGTTGAAAAGAATATTGATCTTCAGTAACCCATGCTTGTCGTAAGAGGCGACTAACGGGATCGGGTGGGTCAGGCTCGCTTGACTTGGTTGAATACATGTCATCGGTTCCTATGTCGTAGATTGAATCTCCTAGTTGTTGATCACTGGATCGTCTGGTCCAGACTCATCGTTTGATTTACAGACCGCCGACATATAGCTTTGGAATATTGCTTGTGAAACGAACAAAACAAAATCTACCATATACTACAGTGTATATCATATCGTATGATTAAATGTAGTAGCTATAATATCTCAGAGAAAACACTTACAACCACTCCTGTTATCACAAAATGGAATGTTACGAATACACAGATACACAACCCAAATCCCAAGGGTACAATATGCCTCCTCCGTAGATCGATGCTCATGCTGTTGATCACTGGATTGTCGTGCTCCAGACTCGATTATTTACAGACCGCCGCCATATAGATGGAATATTGCTGAGTACGGCGTAAAACTAAACTCACTCACTCACGGGTCGTTAACACAAGTCAACAAACATGTCCGTTAGTCATTTGGCACTATATGAAACATTAGACACTTCACTCCCAAACTGTATTCATACGCGGTTTCATGAGCCATAAGATCCATTGTTTGAGACA